GCAGGACTACAGTGAGCGGTGGGGGAGGAGGGATGGGGAAAGCCTGAACAGGCAGGAGGGAACCGCCAGATCAGAAGAGGAGAGGCCAGGCGGAAGGCGGCCAAGGGGGAATTGGGAAGGGGTGCGCGTGGTCCTACCTGCTCAGGTGTGTGCTGGCAGGGGGGCAACGGGGATCCCAGGAGAACCGGGGAAGCCCTCTTAGCTCGATTCAGGATTCCCCCTGCTTCTGGGTTAGACTGCTGCAAGAGGCACGGGTTTCCACTGGGTCCTAAAGCCCACTGCGCAGCCATGGGCTCTCCCGCCCTCTTCCACCAGCCGGGACTGGGTCAACGGGTGCAGCGCTGAGGACTAACGGGGAAGGAAGAACCTCAGTGGGAGAAAGACAGGGGTCTGAGTCATGGGCTGGGGCCAGGAAAAGTCCCGTCTCAAACACACAGCACAGGGATGACTTCAGCTGAGGATGAGACAGGAGAAAAGAGATTTCTTCCTGCCTGCTCTGAGAAGATGAACTTGGGCTTTGGTGCTGAAGATGAGGTTGCGATCAGTTTCCTTCCCCCTCCTGCTACGCAGCTCAGTTGTTGAGAATTTGGGGAAGGGGACCTTCATTCTGGATGAGCCCTCACTCCTACCCCCTCCACAGACACAGCACCCCTCCCCGCTACTCCTATTTGCCTCAGAGGACACCCCAAGGCGGGGGACTGATTTGAGCAAGGAAAAAGGACAGTATGACCTGATGGTATTCGGAAACCGGTAGAGTTTTATATTCTTAGACTGAGGGGCACCTGGGAGTGTGTCGAGATGTGCAGACAGACGCACACAGGTGAGAGCACAAGCAGGTGGGGCCGAAGGGCTCATGCTACGCCCACGACCAGGAAAGACAGTCGGCAGTGGAACAAGACGCAGCTCCCACGAGTCCAGTAGTGCCCCTCCCCTGTCCTTCATAGGATCCTGAAACTTTTCCAGAACAAATACGTTGGAGAGATTATTTCCCCAGGTACCATTTGGGATAAATATAGGGGGCAGAAGGGCCTCTTAACGCAATTACATCAATTTCAAGGTTACAGACCCAGCTTAGGACAGCTGACCTCCTCAGTAGCTCCGAAGGGAGAACTCAGGTCTGCTGGGCCAGGCGGACCAGGGAGAGGTGGCTGGGGAGTCTGCAGAGGGCTGGCTGAAGAACGTTTTGCAAGGAGAGTTGCACACAGCCCCAGCAGCAGAGTTGGGGAAATGTCATGGGGTGAAGGGCCAGGCAGAGTCAGAAACGAGGGAAGGGGGAAGCACGGCCTCTCCCTAGAAGGGGAGAGGGCAGCGGCAATGCCTCTGCCTGTGCCTGTGTCTTGCAGGAAGAACTGGGGGAAAGAGCTAGATCGGTTGGGACGGAGGGCCCCAGGGTGGAGCCCGTGGTCGGGTGAGCTCAGGTCAGGCCCTTCACCCCGACGTGCCTCAGTTCTCCCCCAGCTGTTAAACACGGCCCTCGGTTCTTCCCAGGGAGTTAATGAGTGTTTACAAAAGAGCCTGGAGATCCTCAGATCCCAGCTGGGCCACCACTCCAGTTATAAAGCTCAATAAGGGCTGAGTGTTATTTGGGAAGGGGAGGAGTAGGGGCAGCGGGGAAACAGACTACTCTCTTACAAACGGAGGATGGAGTCAAGCTTGGAGAACACAAGCCTCAGCTGCCACAGGATATCCTTGTGCCCAGGGGTGGAGGTCACACACCCTTGTACCTCTACCCGCCACCAAAGCCCGGCCTCCAGCTAACTGCAGGCACGGCCCAGACTGGCAGCTGGTCTTCATTAACGCCAGCGTTTCTCACCCCACACTGTGAGCCCGCAGCCTCTCCAGGCTCCGGCTGGAGGGGGCTGCCCTAGCTCGACCTTGCAGCTGACTCTGGGCTGGGGGACACGGCACCAGAGGCCACGTTACCAGCTGAAAATAAAGTTGAAGCAAGACTTCCTTTTCCCACCGGGAGCAAGCAGAGAGAAAAGAAAGGGAGTGTGGGGGTGAGAGGGTGGAGGTGGGGGAATTTAGGGCAAACAGCAGGCAGTGAAGTCAGCTGGATGGAGGCCCAGAAACCCCCGCACCCTGGGGCCAAGTCTTACTCTAGCTTTGCTTTCAGCTCCAGTCTTGGCGAGGCCCCAAACCAGGGAAGGCCCTGGCTGCCCCTTTCTGCCTCCCCACCCCCACCCTTATTAAATACACATTTTATCTCTCAGCATCTTCATTATCTTAACCGAAGGAGACAAGCAGTGGATGGCGGCGGCAGAGCATCGCGGGGGGTGCGCGGAGCCGGCGCACCCTTGTTGTAAAGTGCTGATCCGGCGCTTTCAGGCAGTGTGGGAAAAAGAGGTGGGATCAAAGGGAGCGAGGCTGATTCAGAACTCAATTAGAGCTTCTTAAAAAAGGAGCTAGGTCTCTCTCCTTTTGCCAGTCTTCAGATGGCCTTCTTTACCCAGGCCTCTTGCACCCAATTAGTTTCTCCTGCCAGTGCCTTGGGGCCGGGGTTGACAATCGAGGGGAGACCAGAGGGCACAGCCTTCTCCCCCTACGGCGCGGCGCACCTTTTCTGAGAAGGGGGAGACCTGCCTCTAAGTGCAGCTTAAGAGAAAGCCTTAGAGGACACCTTTTCGGGGAAGAACCTAAGGTTACAACTTTCCCCAAAAGTTAAAAAAAAAAAAAAAAAGGGATATTGAAGGCGGGCTCTTCCGTAATCCCTTGCCAGCCAGAGGCAGAGGCTGCTGGCCGGGCTCTAGGGACACCAGGTAACCACCAGACAGGCGCCCCTCCTCCCAGCCCGACAGGAGGACTCTCTCTCCTTAGCCAAGGCCTCCTAGGAGCAACGTGGAAGTTGCCTCAAGCAAAATACCACTACATCAGAGGGAGCGATTGGAACGCATCTGTGAGGCCAATAAACCTTCACCACTGTGCCAAGACCTATTTTGTAAGACCAAGCACCCTTCTTTTCCCCGGGGGGCCTGCGCCACCTCTGGGCAGGAGCACCGGCGACGTTTGGGAAAGGCAGCATCTCCCTCGGTTTATTTATCTGTCCCCTCACCGTCGACTGAACACCTACCAGGTACCAGGCACCAAGTGCTGCGGACAGACACACATGTAAATAAAATCTCGAGCTTGCTCTCTTTCAGTCTCCCTGAGTGGTCAAGTTGACACCTCCCTATAGATATATTAAGAAAAAAAAAAATCTCCAAGCCCGTCTCATTCCTACTTCCAAGTTCTTACTGGTGTATCTTAAAAGGACGCTTAAAGGCAGGGAGTAGCCGCGGGCGGTGGGGGAGAGGAGAGCACCCTGCCAACTTTTCCGATCTCCGGGCAGCTTGGACGTTACGCACGCCTGCCAGTTACCTAGCCACAAGCCAGGCTTCATCGGGCCAGAAACATCGGCGGCAGCTCTGGGGCTGGGGCGTGCACCGATTCTATTGTGTCTATGTGCCTTCCATGGCAATACCTGACAACACTCTATGGAAGCTTAATCTGCTTCTTTAAAGAAACGTAAATAAGTAAACCAGGATATAGACACACACACACGCCCCACCACCTTCGGGAGGAAGAATGTAGGTCAGCATCTCTGCCATTGCTCTGTGTGAAACAGCCTCTGATCCTGGCAAAAACTAGTAACCACGAGCCCATCCCATCCCACTGAAAAATCCCACTCCTTCCCATAGCTCTCTGCCTCGGTGAGAAAAGCCAGCAAGAAAAGGACTTTCCGCCTCCTCTCAATCTGCTCCCTGGCTGTCTGAACTACACTTAAGACTTCGCCGACAAACATGCATCAGCTCCTGCTCCCACAAGGGCAGCGGAAGCCAAGCAGGGACTCTTAAGTCGGCTTCACGCATCATTGACAGGACCAACCCTGTTCCAATTGCTGAAGCCTTTAAGAGCAGCAATGACCTAGAAATTGACAGTGGGGGGGGGGGGAACCTAAGGAAAAGAAACTAACAAACCAGTACACAGAAAGCCCCATTTCCAAATACCAGGGGAAAGGGAGAGAAAGGAGGTAGAGGGGAGAGAAACTTGGCCCCTTGGAATCTGCAAAGGCAATCTTGGCTCAGAGCCACGGAGGATACACAGCAGCCCCACTGCGAGTCAAGCCATGTTCCTGACTCGAGCCCTGCAGTGGAGAGGAAGGCGCCAAGCCTCAAATGCAACGAGGTGGGGAGGCTGCTCCTTTTTGGGCAGGATCCTACTGTGGACACAGAACAGACAGCAGCTGCCCACAGTGTGGAAACAAACTGTAAAGCAGTCACGTCTCTTAAGGCTGCAGCATCCAATAAAATGTAATTTAAATCAAGCCTCGCATCTGTTCTCAATCCCCTTCAGTCTCTGCTTTCCATCAGCCTTCGGACAATCTTTGCAATTATGCTGGTTAACCCTCACAGCCCCAGACACTTCCCAGGCTTCTGCGTATAGAGCTGTGTTCTCCACTCGCAAATTACCACCAGACGGAACGACTTCTCCGCCGAAGGAGCGCGGAAACACCATTCAGACTCACGCCTATAGATCATGCTCTGCTACACACCCGTGGGGAGTGTTCATTTCAGAGGGCCCTCTCAGCGTGCCCTTCTTCTATCCCATACCACCTGCTGTAGCCCAGATCACATTGCAAGGATACAGTGGGCAGCGTGAATGAAACAGTGGCCAACAGATCATTTGCACACATATCAAGTTCCCAAACTCAAGTCCATGTCAGAAAAGTAGGAGGAGATAGAAGAGCTCAGAGAGCAGACTTGGTCGCTGGTGCTCAGACCACTCATATCAGAACATATGGTTTGCATTCCAAGAATTTGCTTGAGTTACAAAAGTACAGCAATCTCCCAAATGAATCAAACTGAAGTTTTTCCCCTTCCCGCGAAACTGCCCCTGCACTTGCCAGGCAGTCAGTGTTGTCATGGCGCCCCCTGGTGTCCCCAACGCAAATTGGCATTCTTATGCCACTAGAAACCAAACCCAGGAAAGGGGAGACTTGAGTAACCATATGAATCGATTTATCTCACAAGACCACAAAAATAGGAGATGAGGTAAAAAAAGCCAACCCCGAACTCAGGCATCTTGAGACAAGTAGTTTCATGCGAGGGCAGCAAGACTGTGGGAGGAATTTTCATGTCGCCTTCTGGGAGCCGGAGCTCTCTGGAACTGTGATGGCTCAGACAGGCCAAGGAGGTGGCTTGAGAATGAATGTATTCAGTCTGCAGCTCCACACTCTCCCGACTACCCCCACCCCCTGGGAGAGCCTGAGAAACTCGGTCTCTAAGACGTCACAGCGTGGGAGCATCTGCCACGTGAACACGGGACACTCCGAAAAGGAAGAAATCCCGTGACCACAGAGTGTCCTCCAAATCTCCACGCGGATCTGCTTCTTTTCCTGGGTCGCACTTTTCCATTCTCCGGATGCCAGTCCCCGCAGTCTTTCAAATGCACCAGCGTGTGCGGAAGCGGAGAGGCGCGCGCACACGCACGCACAGCCTGCAGCGCGAATCTGTGTCCTGCGGGCCTGTTCAGGTAGTAAGGGTAACTTAAAAGGGTCTACTTGGTAATTTTTAATGCATAAAAATAGTAAGACCCAAAGATGTTTAACTCTGTGCAAATATTCGTGAATCTATAAATTAAAATCGATCATTTTCAAGTAAAAGTAAGTAGTATTTGTCTTCAGATCTGAATACATAAAGTACTAAAATGAAGACTTTATAGCTCTTTAAGTACCAAACTAGATACTTTCGAGTCAGGTATTAGTGTAGAATAAAAGAATTTAAGGCAATCCAGTAGCTAAGATACTGCCAACTAAAGTTTTGTCTTTCAGAGCATGCTCTATTTCCTTCTCTTCAATCTTCAGAGACACCTGGAAAGAAGAAAAAAAAAAAGCATTTTTTACAGTGGAGAACTCACATAAGCAAAGTTTTTATTACATGAAAAGTCTGCCACATTGAGCTTTTCTCCCAAGAAGCAAGCAAGTTAAACACTGCTTCTTTAATGGCCTACCAAAAAAATCTTATTCACGCTGCAGCCCCATCCTCACAGATCTTAAACTCTACCTAACAAAAAAAAAAAACAAACTTTGTCTAATGAAGGTCATTTTAAATTCTTTCCTTTAACAAAAAATAAGCTCTCCAACACTAACTGGTGTGACTCAGTGGATTGAGTGCCGGCCTGCAAACCAAAAGGTTGCCAGTTCAATTCCCAGTCCAGGCACATGCCTGGGTTGCAGGCTGGCTCCCCAGCTGGGGACGTGCGAGAGGCAACCAATCGATGTATCTCTCCCTCTTTCTCCCTGTCTTCCCTTCTCTAAAAAATAAATAAATAAAATCTTAAACAAAATAAGCTCTCCGAAACAAGACAGTTGAAAGCAATTGGTTGTACCTTTGTGAAGCGGGTTTCCTTGTTTTTCTTTAATTCTAAAATGCACCTGGCCTCCAAGAGCTCTGAAAGTGACAAACACTCTGACTGGTCCACAGCTGCCACCTGCTGTTTGCGACAGACGTTACAATAGGCTTCATACAACTGGGAGGAAACAAGGGAAAACGAATGTTGCTTGTAAGTCATATCTCTTGTAACCTTATAATCTTTTAAAAAATGTGAGTCTGGGTTTGCAAAAACTCTCCCTCTTTTCTTTTCAGTGACATTCTCGAACAGGCACTCTGTAGATATTGCCAAAAACCTACACTATAATGCAAGAAAGGGGCTTTACATATTTCATTGAGGCAGAAGTAGGAGAGGATTAATGGTAAATTCTCAACTACAACACAAAGGAAATAAAGCCAGCTGCCTTTTACGTGGTATCAGTATTTATTCTTACTATTAAAATCCATTTTTAATTCATATCAGCTGGAGCATAATACATCCTTTGGAAAACATCTGCACCTTTGGCTGGTGTGGCTCAGTGGATTGAGTACCAGCCTGCAGACCAAAGGGTCATTGGTTCAATTCCCAGTCAGGGCACAGGCCTGGGTTCCCAGCCAGGTCCCCAGTTGAGGGGGTGTGGGAGGCAACCAATCAATGTTTCTATCCCACACTGATGTTTCTCTTCCTTTCTCCTCCCTATCCCCCCCCTCTAAAAACAACAAATAAAAAACCCCTGCTCTGCCAAGCAGACTCCCATCTCTACCCCAGCTCCCTCTGCTGACACGCCCAACTAACCTTCCCCAGAGCGACCTCTTTGCTTTTCAACCGCCGGGTCAGGAGCAGCAAAGAGCAGACCAAGATCTTCTGCTGCAGCGGGAAGGAGTCCTGTGCTCCCTCCTGGACCAAAGCCATTCTGTTTTCATCAACTTCTGAAATGACTCGGGATATGTGACTAAGACTGACCCGCTTTGGAACCAGTGACTCAGAGGATGATTTACCTGTGAAATAAATGAATCGGGCTTAATCAGATGTTTAAAAACTATGTGTATTGGGACAGACGATACTAAGTTCTAGCTGAAGAAAAGTCAAGTGCAGTCATGCAGTGGCAAAGCGGAGGTTCCAACTCTGCAACTGGAAAGAATGACAGACAGCGCTGTTCCCAGAAAGAGACCAGAACTACGTGGGATGACTTGGAAAGGGGGCTAGCCTTTTCCTGGGCAGAATGGTGAGCCACTTCTCCCTGCAGAACACAACTGCAGAGACAAAAGTCCACGTCCTGAAAGAATAAGGGCCAGAGAACTCCTGTATCCTGCCTTGAAAGTGCTTAAAAGCAAAGGTGCAGAACAGAACCTTGAAACAAAGACAGCTGTGCTCAGCGAGTGAGAAAGGAAGAAAAAAGTTGGAAAAACTACCTAATATACTGAACCAAATGCGTGGCTAAACGTCAGCAGCACAGCCAGTCCTACCTAAGTCCTCGAGACAGCCTCTGCAAGTGACCTCTGCGGTTTGGGTCACTTGCCCACACCGATCTGCAGCAGAGCAACACTTGAGAGAATGTCACTGGATATCTCGGCAGATAGCTACATCGCGGAGGCGGAGGCTGGGAGACGGCCAGCAAGCCGCAGAGGACTATGGCCTCATTGTCTGGATGACGGGCGGACTGGGAGAAAGGAGGGACTTGCTCTGCAACAACCTCTGCCTAAAGTTACTTTCTGAGATCGTGTGCGGTTGCCGCCTGCTTCTGTTTTATTACAGCGAACGGGATGCTGCCGAGGACTAACGGGGGCGGCGAAACTGGAGATCACAGATCGAGTAGCAGAATCTTAAGGCCGAAAGGAACCCAGAGGCCTATTCTTGCTCCCTCCCCCATGGCTGAGTCCCCTCTGAAACAGCCCAACAAGTGGTCGTCTGTCTATCCAACTTGCGTATCTTCGGTGCTGGGAGCCTGCCAGGTGTCAGAGAGGCCCAGCCAGTGCTGCTTACTAGAAAGTGTCTTCATATCCAAGGGGGGGCAAAAGTAGGTTTACAGTTTATTCTTGTATTATTATTACTACTATTCTTGTATTATTATTACTACTTTTGTATTTTTTAAAAAAGAATTTATTTACGTATTTATTTTTAGAGAGAGGGGAAGGGAGGGAGAAAGAGAGGGAGAGAAACATTAATGTGTGGTCACCTCTCATGTGCCCCCTACCGGGAACCTGGCCTGCAACCCAGGCATGTGCCCTGACTGGGAATTGAACCGGTGACCCTTTGGTTGGCAGGCGTGCACTCAATCCACTGAGCCACACCAGCAGGGGCTATTCTTGTATTATTATTTGTTAATTATTGTATTACTTTCTATACAAACAACTGTAAAGCTACTTTTGCCCGACTCTGTATATAGTTCAAGCCAGTCTCCCCATAGCTTTCTAGAGCCATGAAAAGCTAATTGCAACTCTGGCCAGCATGGCTCAGTTGGTTGGGTGTCGTCCTGAAAACTGAAAGGTCAAGGGTTCGATTCCCAGTCAGGGCACATGCCTGGGTTGCAGGTTCTGTCCCCAGCCAGGGCACATGCAAGAGGCTACTGATCCATGTTTCTCTCCTTCTCTTTCTCCTTCCCTTCCCCTCTCTAGAATCAATAAAAGAAAAAATGGGGGGGAAAAAGCTAATCACATATACCAGAGGTCAAAAGACAGGAATACACTAATCTAATAATTTATACCAGGAACTTCTAACCCCTTTTAGCTGCGTGTGTGCCGGTGGTGCTCACAGGGTCACTGACACACCCATAACAAATGTCATTTGGTGGTGGGGAAAAAAGGAAGACTCTGAAAAGCTGAGCAGAAACCAGTATCTAGTCTATGTAGTGGCATATATCACCTACCTACCACCATCCGAAGCACTGAGTTTGGCTACTTCTGAAGTATTTTTATTAATTTTCTCTTAACAAGGTAATGAAAAATAGAAAGTATTCTCTGTGGAACTGCAGTGCCAGAAACGATTTTAAAAGTTTTCAACCAGCGCAGGAGTGAAGGAAGAAACAATCAAATCGGACTGTCCTGTCGCTAGAGATTAACACTGGACATTCGACCCTGAGGAGATACGTAGTTCATGGCTATGTCACGTCTTCCACAGCTGGGAGGACCAGGCGGGGGGAAGGAAAATGAATTTTTGCGTCTTTGTATCAGCCTGCCGTTTGCTGCAGCCACATCGCCTCTACATCTCCACCCTCCTGGACTGGTTTAAAGGCTCGAGGTGCGCCCAGTTGAACTCAGTTCTTTCACCGTCTGTCTGCCATTGACCGGGCTCTGCCTCCCCCTGTATTGAGAACTAAACTGCACACAACCTAAGCACCCAGAGAGAAGCTGATCCAACCTTATTGTTTAGTTTTCATTCCTAGAGCTTGGAAAGAGAGCTTACTCTGCCCCCACCATTTATGTAACACCCGGGGGGACGAGTTTCCAGTAATGCACAGACTACAGGACTGGCAGGCAAGATGGAAATAAAGCCAACGAAATAGACCACGCACACACACACAAAAATGGATTTAACTGTGTTCATTACACCTTTCTAGCTCTTTCCCCAGAAGAGTTAGGCTTCCACGACAAAGGAAGACAGGAAGGAGATAAACTACTTACATTCAGACAGTGGTTTGAGGATAGTCTGGCTTTTGACATCCGACTCTACAATTTCAATAGCTCTCCTGTGAAAAATATTTCTAAAATTAATTTAGGCTGAGCCAAACCAAACACCACACCAAACTTGAAAACATACGTATTAACAGAAAACACGTTTTATCATTTTAAAACCCCACACACAACGCTGGGTTATGTCTCAGCTAAAGGAGACACAGTGGCCTTGAACTAAGCCGCAGATCGGGGAACCCGAGCACTTGGGCGCTGCAAGGTTCCCTCCTGCAGGTGCCCCGCAGGTCAGCACACACTGAGCGAGCGGTGACTCTCTGGATGAGGGGAAACGTCTGGGGCAGGTGACAGAACACGGAGTGTGGGCAGCTGACAAGACACAGCCACCCCAGACCTGAAAGGGGAGTCCTCAGGCACAGGTACACGGCACACGTGTGGGGTACACCACACCAGCCTGCACGCCTACGGCTCATAGCTGCAGTCTTCACCCAAGGGGGGTCTGCTGACGAGGGGAAACTTGCACATCCAGGACCATGCCATCGAGCCACAGGAAGAGCTCACTCTCCCACTGCTCTCTCCAAACCACTTTGCCCACAGGAAGCCGTGAGCCAGCCCTGGACCTACTGCGTGGCAGTAGGGGGAGGGAGGACCAGCAGGCCAGCACAGCGAGGATCATTTTAATGGACCCAGTGCCCCTACTGGGAGGGAAGAAACTTCATCAGTCAGCACGTAGGCTTTCCCCAGCAGGAGGCACAAGGGGATGGGAAGGGAGAGAGGTCTGGAGCCACAACTGTGGGGACCACCAACCGAAGGAAGGGGTGCTCACAAAAAAGTGAAGGGAGGAAAAAAAATGTCTGAAGGCAAAGATGGTTCAGGTCCATAAATAAACCTGCTTGAGATCAGCTAATGGAAAAGTAAACTGGAGTCTTTTTTAATACAAATGTAATTAACCAATCTATAATCACCACAGGGAGTGCCAGCAACATCTCATTTGTTCCTCCCTCTGTAGGTAATGGACTGGTAATGTTTCAGACATTAACACGGTGGAAAGGCAGAGCTCCCCACTGAGAAACAAGTCCTCTTTTCTGAGCATAAAAAGTGGCAGCATAGAGCCTCTTAAGCCACATTCAGTTGAGTTACATGAGACAATTAAAGAGCATTTCTTTTTTTAATAAAAGCAGCCAACAGGGCCATAACTCACCTGCAAACGTCTAGTGCTTTGCGAACGTCTCCCGAAAGGGCAGAGACTTTGCGGGCACAGAACTGAATGGCAGCGCTGTCCAGAATCTGCTCTCTACATACCTTCGGACGAGACACGGAAGGTGACGGTCTGAACCGTAAGGTCCCCCCTCTCTTTCATGTAGATCCCCGAGGTAACTATTTTCACACTTAAGTCTAAACTTGATTGCCACCCCCACCGTGACGGTCTAAGAGATGCCCTTTCTGCCCATAAGTACATGGGGATTACACACGTAAGCATTTTGCAGGAATGCAGTAGAGGTTCATATATGGGGCTGGGGGGGGGGCGGGGGGACAAATGAGCAAATGTAAATTAAAACCTATTTAGTCATTTTCAGAAGAGAAAGTTTCTCATGGGCCCTCCTTTGAAAGGTCTTATTAGAGAAGCATTTGAGTGATTCCTCTCTCGCTTTCATTTCCACAGAGGTACCCGATAAATGGAGCCGTGGGGTAAAAACTCTTATAAAAATGTTCTCATGATGGCCCACAGGAACTCCACGCTTAGTAACGCCATCAGAACAAAATGTTTTAGAGCGACCGTCAGGTTTCCCGGACACAGGTGTGGCAGGAACACGCGGTGTGGCACAAGGGCTGTTGCTCACCTGGTTGAGTCGATCCTGCAAGATAGCGGCTATCTGGTTTTTGGTGTAAGGCGGGAAGTTCAACAGCTGTGGCTTACATTTTCCCCTCGCCTGCAGCCTCGGCAGAATTCTGTCTGTGAGGTCCAAGGTATTAGCAATGCCTGAGCAGGAGAGAAGGAACGGTAACCATCCCTGGTCAAATCATCCTAAGAGAAAAAAATCAACCACCAGAACCTGAATAAAAACTTCCAGGTATAACCCAGCATTCCAGTGGCTGCTTCCCACCGGTTGCTCCCCCCTCGCCCACCCAACACTCATTAGGTGAGACATATATAGTCACCATAGAGTGCTCTTTTAAGTTAGAATTGTTCACTGATGAGCTGAATCAGATACTCCAAAAATCAATGGTCTCTGAAATGCTGTATTATTTCATATCTCTTCAGACTTAAAACTGATCTTTTTTAAAATAATTAAACAAGAGTTGAAAAAAAATTTTAATTAGAGATTTTATTTATTTATTTTTAGAGAAAGGGGAAGGGAGGGAGAAAGAAAGGGAGAGAAATGTCACTGTGTGGTTGCCTTGAGCATACACCCTACTGGGGACCCTGCCTGCAACCCAGGCATGTGCCCTGGCTGGCTGGGAATGGAACCAGAGAACTTTTGGTTCACAGGTTGGCACTCAATCCACCAAAACACACCAGCCAGCGCTTAAAACTGATTTTCCTTAGACTAAAATTACTATCTACTTTCTTATTTTGATAAAAAAGCGGAATGCTGGTTTAAAATAAATAGGTGATAAATAGGCTAAAGAGATTAAAAAAGGATTCTTGTACTGGCTGGGTAGCTCAGTTGGTTAGAATATCATCCCCATTTGCCAAGGTTGCAGATTCGCTCCCAAGTCAGGGCACATATAAGAGTCAACCAATGAAAGCATAAATAAGTGGAACAACAAATCAATGTTTCTCTCTCCCTTTCATTTCATTGACCTAAAATCAATAAATTAAAAGAAGAAATTTAGCCCTGGCTGGCGTAGCTCAGTGGATTGAGCGCGGGCTGGGAACCAAAGTGTCGCAGGTTCGATTCCCAGTCAGGGCACATGCCTGGGTTGCAGGCCATGACCCCCAACAACTGCACATTGGTGTTTCTCTCACTCTCTCTTTCTCCCTCCCTTCCCTCTCTAAAAATAAATAAATAAAATCTTAAAAAAAGAAAGAAAAAATTTAAAAGATTTTATTTATTTATTTTTAGAGAGAGGGGAAGGGAAGGGGACAGAGAGGAAGAAAAATGTCGTCGTGTGAGAAATAGTTGCCTCTCACACGTCCACAACCAGGGACCTGGCCCGCAACCCAGGCATGTGCCCTGACTGGGAATTGAACCAGCGACCTTTCGGTTCACAGGCCAGCGCTCAATCCATTGAATCACACCAGCCAGGGCAAGACATTTTAAAAAAAAACACACAAAACGAATTCTTTAGAATAACCGTGTAATAGTAGCAGTTTGAGCACTAACCAATCAGCACCAGTCGAGAATTGTTTAGCCAGGGCCATTCGAACAGTGTGTATAACACATCCTGCCCTCTGCTGTCCAGCTGATCCACCTCGTCCAGCACCAACACGCTACATAGAGAGAGAAACAATTAGCATCCACATTCACCTTCTTACCTCTCCAATCCGTCTGATCTGGGATGACTCGAGGTTGCATTCCTACAGCTGAGACCAGTTTAAAGATCATACTGTGTCCTATCTCCAGTCACTGTTACAAATGACCCCCCCTCCACCACCACAAAAAAGCAGCATTTAGGTTTTTCAAGCAATTTGTTTAAAAACAGTTTTCTAGTTTAACATTAGAAGGTGTAATTTTCCTTTCTCCTTTCCCTTTAAGCTTATGCAACTATCTCTCATAGAGCAAATACAGGAAAACTTCCTTTTATGAGCAAAGCGATGAAGAGATTAAAATGGGGGGTTGCGGGTAACAGACCTTGAAGACTTTTGCAGAGCAGTACTTACACCATGGGGCCCTTCTCTGCAGTCAAATGGTTTTCCAGTTTCCTCATCACGTCCTTCCCAGCTGGCCTGGGCCCTCCGTCCTGACAAATCTCCTGAGCAATAGCTGGGAATACAGCCTGGGCACTCCTCAAGGACATGCAATTCAGCACGACAGTTTTAAAACCTTTCAGTTCCTTCTAGAAAAAATGCAAACATAGAGGAGTTATTTGGGCCACGGATAAGAATTTGATGGAACCTGAAGTGTCTTTGAGGAGGTAACATTATACAAGAGAATAACCTCTACTTTCATTTAGAAAGATTTAGACAATGAAACTTAAAACATCTTTTTGGGAGAAAACGGCACGTAAGCCTGCCACTGTTTCTTAAACCCTTAGTAATGGTCATTTTGGCAAGAGCATCATAATTCAGATTCTCAAAGTACCTTGAGGTCTTGCAGAATTCGGCTTAAGCAGGCAGTTTTTCCGGTTCCAGGAGCACCAGAAAGATAAAGACTTCCAGCCTTCCTCCCACAGATGTGCTCCCTCAGGAAACTCCTGATGGCATCCATCTCCTTTTCCCTGGCAGGCAGCCGGTCGGGGACAGCTGTATTCAGGACCAGCTTTGCCTGCTGGTAGCAAGTGCCTGTGCCAGACACGAAAGGACAGTCAGACACAACAGAGGTGACTGAGAAGACCCAAAGGGTTTCCTCTGGAGTCACCGGCCTTATTTACAAGGCTGCATTAACAACTGCTGTGTAAGAACACACCTTCTTGCTTGAATAGCCTCACGCATGCAGATTCTTTCTCCACTGGCTGTCTCTGCTCGGAATTTGTGGTGATGTCTTGACCTTTTGGAACCGAGGGGCACTTTTTGTTCTGGTGAACTCTGGCTCGTTCTCTTTTGCTAGAAGACTTAACCGTCGGCTGATTGTCGAATACCAATCTGCGTCCCTTAGGTGTGTGCGAGCGTGGCGGGCCGTTCTCCTTCCTGCCCAGCTTTGGTGGAGAGCAGTGCGGTAAATGGGGAGTGTTGCACTGGTTGTCATCACCTGACGCATATTAAAACCAAAATACAGTCATTTGTGGCAGCGGTCAGTAAAAGGCTTTGCAAAAATCTCGGCCTCCCCCAGAAACAGGTGAATTTCCACTGCAGTCAAAGCCACCACGATAAAATGCCTGTCATTTTAGAAGCAAGCACTGGCCGCCAGATGGCACCACTGAATCTTACTACCGTTTGGTAGAAACCGAGGGGGTTTCAGTGGGATCCAAGCCTCAGACGGTTCCAAAAGAAGGGTTTCTCAACCCGAGTGCAGAATGCTTCGCAGCATCCCTGGTCTTCTTCCGCTATGCCACTAGCACCCTCTCTGTTGTAACAACCAAAAATGTCTCCAGACATTGCCCAATCACCCCGCGTTAGAAACAAATTATCTAAGACAGGACAGGATGACCAACCACCAACCTAAAACAAGAATGTCACCTGTGTCTCTTAAATTCACCACTGTTAAGGCGAATTTCAAAATAATATACAGTACAGCTCAATGCGAGGTCATTTAAAATACCGACAGAATGAAGTTCAGTTAAGGAACTGAAGATCAGACCTACTCAACGTTCCAGAAGGTGATGTTAACTCTGAAGTTCAGTGAGAGAACTTACCAACCATCCTGAAAATAACCAAGGTGAACACAGTGAGTGGCCTTAACGGAACTTAGCTGCTTCAAAGGCATCTTATTATTGAATAAAGAGGGTCAAGAGCTACCCGTCAAAATACTTATATTGTACAATGGATAGCTTACCCAGGCGTTTTCTGGGGCTGAGAGGTTGACTTTTCACACCAGGAGAACGGGGTATGGCCTGGACGTTTGTCAGTTCTAGTTTGGTGTCATGAGATTTCTTAGCTGTGTCCAACGTTCGCGACAGCTTCTTTTTTGGAAAACGGATCGTAGCCTGGGCCTGGGACCGGGTTTGGGGCATGACGGCAACACAGCTGGGCACAACAGAGAGAACAGGACGGCCAGTCAACATGTGAAACTGAAGGAAAAATAACTACTAACATGGAATTTATACGATGACGACACCTATTTCATAAGTGAATTGTTATAACATTATTATTTCAGCATTCATTCGGTTCTGCTTCCCAACCAAATCTACGCAGTAATGGCAAAAACATGTCTACCAACCACGTTTAAGAAGCTGTTGTAAACATTTGCTTTAGATACTGCTTCATCTAAGTTTTACAACTACCTTAGAGGACGTACTGTTATTAAAATGATCTTCAAGGTGAGAAAACGGAGAGGCACAGAGACCCCAAGTTCCGGCAAACCAGGCCCTCTGTCTCCAAGGTCTTTCCCGCTTGAGCGACGCAATGAGTTTATCTTGAGTGACTTCTAACTACTTCTAAATTCAGTCACCCCAGGTTCGGGTGTAGCTGTAGCGCCAGCCTCGCCCAGCAACCGTCCACACTTACAGTCCTCATCCCCCCAGATCTCTCTGCACAACCCTCAACACCTCGCCGGAACACCTCCGTCCTACGACATTCAGCTCCTTTACGTGCGCGCAGCCGCCAGACTACTCCGAGGACTCACGTTTCCCTTCCCCTACCGGGCGGGATCTCCCGATATCTGAGCTCTCCCCCATTCACTTCACCTCGGGCGTCCTCCGTACCTGCGGGCCTTGCCCCCCAACTCCGCTACTTCCCCTGACCCCAGACCTCCCGGAGCAATCCCATCCTCTCCACGCCACAAGGCTGAGTCGCCTCACGGCCGGATCCTTCTCACCTCTCTCGCACAAGGCTTCAGGGATTACCCCAAACAAGCTCCTGAGCAAACCAGCAGCAGTAAAACCCAGACGCGCTCGCGCCAAATCTGCCCAGTTTTAGCTTTCCGGTCTCCCGCCAAAGCCCGACCAGATTTCTGATTGGCTGTCGTAAGAGAGCCGCGCGCCTTGGCCAAAGCCCACCTTACTATTCCCGTCCACTCCATAGCCAATAAGAGAGCCCCAAGTTCCAAAGCTCCCGTGAGCCCCGCCCACTTAGCCAAGAACACAGCTACATCCGGGTCCACAGCGGAAAGACTCGCGGTAGTAGAGGAAGCGACTCTGGGTAAGAACTGTGCGCAAAGCCTGACGGGAGTTGTAGTCTTTGCCCCTTGCGACTCATTTCTACGCCTTTCTCTTGGAGTTTTAAAGATGTGGTTGCCCCTTCTAACTGCTGCATTTACCCATTTTCATTATCCTAATGGGCCACACTTTTACAGAGCAATTATATAATATCTACCATTTGGGGGGTGGTTCTGGGTGTCAGGTATGATGCTAGGCATTCCTCTCTAATGCTCAACCCTGCAAGCCACAAAGCAAATGTGCAGAGGGTTACATACAGCGTCACAGCGTCTTGTTGAAGGTTTCCTAACACCCAAACCAATGGTTTCTTGTAAAGTTCTACACATGCATTGAGAAACACTCTACACCTTATTCCAGTATCCCCTTATTTGTATCTCAAAGGGGAGAAATAAAGCTAGGCCTTTGCTTTTATTTTGTTAAAGGTAAAGAACATAGTTTGTGTACCTTCTTATCATTAATCCCATTAATCAACACTGTGGGGAGTGTAGAGAATTATGACTCCTTAATTTAATTTTATCTTTTTTATGGCTAAACACTAGGGTTCCAGGGCCAGAGAAGGCTGCTACAGAAGAGACAAGCTGAGCTTTTAATGAAAAATATAAATTAGAGCAGTAATTTACAGGCCAGCTTCCAAAGCTAATAACCTAGCTAAGCCTCGGGTTCCACTAAAGGCCAAAACCCAATTCTAGGTGATGGTAGGCATTTACCTTTCATCCTTTAATATCAAATAAAATAGAGCAATAAAGCTGAGAAGTAGGAAAGCAATATTATAATCATCTGTTAATTGTAGTTAGTTCATATAGGAAATAAAAGCCAATACTGAGTGCTTAAGTGTATTCCAGGGACTGAGCTCAAGCATTTTACCTGTATCACCTTATCAATTCTCATAAGCGTCCCATGAAGTTGGTATTATTTCCATTTTACAAATAGAGATAGAGGGGGGTGAGTAAATGTTCCCAAGGTCACACAACGTAGGAAATGGAAGAGCTGGAATTTGAACTCAGAAAGTCTGTCAGGAGAACAAACTTGTCCACTTAAACTTGAGGGAGAATTAGATGCAGCTTCTCCAGTGGCCTTCCAAATAGGAAGAGATGCTGAAGGAGCACACTTTTTTAAATTTTTTAAATTTAATTTTAATTGTTGTTGAAGTATGATTTTCTTTTACTCCCATCCCAGCCCACCCTCCCATTTCCACCCACCCCTAGTTTTTGTCCATGTGTCCTTTATACTTGAAGGAGCACATTTTGGGAAGGCTTTCTAGAAGCCGAAAACTGTAAGAGTGAAGAGATGAGGCAGCCATGAATGTAAGAAGTGTTATCCGAGAACGTAGGCTTTCAACCAGATGGTATTTCTGGTCTCTGAATAGGGCAATAGAACCTAGGAAGCAACCTATACGGTTCATGTTTATTTTTATAAGCTGGGCACCTGAAAATTGTTCTTAGTAACATGAAATGGTTAACATGTGCCCAGTCAGCTTTAAGGGATGGTGGTGAACAACCTCCCTCACCTACAGAGGCAGAGTACTTAACATGCAAATTGGTGCCTATGAAAACACTCACTAGCAAATATAGCACTGGCCCAAAAACAGTCTGCGAGAGTGAATGACCACTGTGGAGGCAGGCAGAGAATCACAGAATGTCAGGATTGAAAAGCCTCTAAAATGTTGCCTACTTGAAGCTTTCCCTCCCCGATATTCCAGTGACCTGACGTCCTTACTACCACCAGGCTGTTTCCTGCTTCTGTGCCTGTCTTTGCTATTTCCTGTCTACACAACTCTCTGAGGATGGGGAGCGAACACTGCTCCCCACCCTCCATCCCTGGCTAATTACCATAAGGCCTTTTAATACCGTGCATAGTTTTCTCCTGGTAGCTGTCCTGAAATCTCCTAGACCTGGAACTCCTTGGAAGCAAAGGAAATGTCCTAGTCATCTTCATCATGTAGATGCTGAGCACAGAGTCAAGTACGCGATAAATGCTTGCTGAATGGACAGGACATTCCTGCAAATTGGGTATCTGCCTTTTTCATCAACTTTTCGTGGACAGACACCATATAGTCCTTTAAATCTCACACACCTAAACCTAGAAGTGGAGAATAAATTCAATTATGTATAAAGACAATCCAGACTGGGCTCCGGTGATGTCAGAGGTGAAGCGTATTTCCCCCATAGTCATCCTCTGGGGTGGTTAGGATTCTAAGGTTGATATTTTAGTTCTCCTACCTTTGCAGAGAAATAGGAAGTCAGACAGGAGCTTTCTTTGCAGTGAATCAGAGTTTGTGGCTTGGTTGAGCCAGAAAATACTTAACCGGCATGTTCACAGCAAGCAGCGGTTCTCAGTAATGATTAAAGTGGGTGCACTGTTGTCTTTATCATCTGCTAATTTATAGTGTCATGGGGGGAGCCCGGAAGCCCCCCCCCATCAAATCGCAAGTGGAAGGACCTGTCCAGCATCCTGTGGCGTGAGTGTACACACACACACACACACACACACACGCACGCAGGCACACACTAGTAATACCATCCCAATAGAATGGAGAAAGCTTATACTTTATAGCATTGGAAGTGGAGGGACATTTAAGCAAGCTCCATTTGAGGCCTATTGAAAGTCACAGGAGGAACAATTAAATCAATAAATAGGTAGTTTATTAATCACATTAATAACAACGATGGGTCAAATAATCAGGAATTCAGCCAATTTGGCAAGTATGGATGAAAAAGAGCCCCTTTTCCGTCCTCCCTCCCTGGCCCTCATAGGTTTTGATATCTAAATTATGTGAATGAGTCACACACACACCCACTATGAATCGGTATGGGAAACAATTTCAAGACCTTTGCTAGTGAGGAAAGTGCAAGTTAAGCTCATTAAGTCTTTGTGGTGATTAGTCAGCTGACCATAGTAAGCAGAGGATGTCTGGCTTAATTTTTCACACCCAACGTCAAAGTTCAAGCCAGTAAGACTTCAACTTAAAAAGCAGTGAAGAAAAACAGCAAACACCCACATAAAAATAGCCACACGGAGTCTGTGCGCTCTGCCCCACCTGTCCTCCCGCACCTCAGCGTGAGGCTCTGCTGTGCAGCGCAGGCAGAAAGCATCGTAAGGGACATAAAAAAAGGACGCAAGGCCAGAGGGTGGCCTGGGTTTCCTGAAGTCACAAGCAAAGGGGGGTTAGGTGGCAAATATAAATAATGCCCGAGTCTGTCAGAGTCACCCAGTCAGCATGGCTACCTAGAACTGCGATTTTCAAAATACAGCCGGAGGGGAGGAGAGAAAACCCTTAAGAAGCTGCAGATGCTTCTGCCCAAGTCAATGCATCGACTTCCTCAGAGGACCGGGGTTCAAACCACCACGCAATCTGGAATCGGAGGCAACAGATTTACTCCCCGCTCTGTGTCACTACATGAGGCGGTATTCCAGACAAGAGTACACAATTTTGGACTTTCTGTTTTTGTTTTTAAGCATGGTTTAATTAAACTGCACAGCATCCAGAAGAAACAAGTATACCAAATAATCCAACCTGAAACCAGATTATATATTTTAGAGGGGACCGGGAAAAAAAATCAATGCTAGCTGGGAGAGGGAGCATTGTAATCGGAATATAACTCCAAAAGAAGTCATACAATTAAATTATTTTTCTTTAAAGAAACTGATCCACATGCAAAGATGGACACACACACACACACACACTCACACCCATTCACACTCTTCACAGGTCATCTCTAGGTTTTTTATTCAGTGTTGACTACGACTTCCATGCTGGTTTTCTCGGGAAACGATACGAGACAGATGTGAGACCAGCAGGCTTGCCCCTGGCCCTCTGCCACCAGTGGAGTGAGATTTAAGACCATCAGGGAACCCACTAAGATGATGGAACCAAGAGTAGAAAGAAGAAAACAGCCATTATCAAGGAAGATTTTAATTGCTTCGGAGGGAGAGAGGAAGAAAGCACAGCAATCTAACACAAGTAAAGGCACAATGAACGTGGAGTTGAATGGAACCAAACCTTTCCTGCAGTTAAACAGTTATCCTTTTTTTATTTGCCTGTATGTTTTGAGGGTGGCTGTGATTTTGTTTCATTTGGATGAGTCTTGAAGGGAGAGTTGTAACGTCCTCCAGGCCCCGAGGCAGGGTGGCTTCCAGAAAGCTACCCAGGCTACACGGCCAGGGACCGAGACTAACAGGGAAGGAAACAACCGAAACGTGAAGAGTCTGATTTGCAGCTGCTTGCAGGTTGGGCTGGCAGAAGGACAGACAGCTCCGTGCAGTGCCACGAGAGGGCCTCGGGTGCCCTGTGCTCCACCCCCGAGCTTCGCAGAGGACCCTGGAGTCACGCTTCTCCCCCTCCCCTAAGCACTCAGCCTACAGATTATTTCAAGTGATCAGGAGAATTAAAACACACCCCAACCTGAGTTGCTCTGTAGCAAGTCTATTTACAATTTTTTCTCACCTCTCCCTGGAGGTAAATCTGGGTTTCAAGTGGGGAAGCTGTGGTGTGAGGGGGTGCCCCCAGCGCCATGGCCAGTGGCTAGTCTCCTTGCCTTTGCCAGCTGGGAGGGCTGCGATGAATTTCTGGAGCCAGCAGCTAGCTTCACATCCACTAGGCAGGGCAGCCATAGGCGCTCTCTTGTGGGCCCGGGAGTGAAAACGATGGGGCTCCACTGTGAGAGGAGACCCCCACGACAGAGAAAACCACAGCTGGAGCATCCAAGTGCTTTGATCCAGGGTTGGCGACCAAAGAAGGGTCCAAGAGGGGCACCCAGCTGGCTTAAAAACCTGGAGGCCACTGCCCTGCTCCCCAGAAAGGGCGGTAAGAAACAACTACAGTATTAACTTTTCCCCACTAGAGAAAAACCTCATAGAACCAAACCCACACAAGGGCTTTTAACGCAGCTTCCTGATGCTTAGCTGGGCAATGCCTCCTCCTTCTGGGAGAGGGTAAGGGGATTAATGGGACTGGGCAACAGCCTCAACATGAGACCACCCAATCTTCCGCCGAAGAGACGACATTCCCATAAGCAGATAAAAAGAGCAGTTTCAAAGGTGAGAAGTTCCAGTGCTCTTGCAGCCAGCCCACCTTAAATCTATATTACAAGCTTTTTACAACATACAAAATAGATCAATAATTATGAAGATCACATTCCCATTCTTCGATAGTAAATATACATGATAATAAATCTGTTCTTAACAGAGGGACCAAATAACGTATAAGGCAAAGATATTTAAATAAGTACTGTGTCACCAACATGCGCTGAAGAAAATGCATCTGACTAGATCTAACCCAGGCCTCTTTTCACGAGGCCAAGAAAATAAAAATACCTGGATGCCCACGTGACACAGTCTGAACGCTGGGGAAGATGAGGGGCGGCAGGTCACGGGGGAGGAAGATAGCGGCCCCAGTGAAAAGCTGGGGGTTTGGCTTTTACTTGTGACACTTATTTTGATGCTGTATGTTTGAGGAAAGGGGAAAAATACACTTTGACAACATCGTACAAAAGGCATCAAGTCCCATTTTGAAAATAAATGGGAAGACTTCACAGTCCAAGTTCCGTGATGGGCCAGCATCTGCCCTGGAACTCCGCCGCAGTGCCCACTCTCGTCCTCTGCCCCTTCCCCTGCGCTGGCGCGCCCTCTCTCAGCTCCGTCCCCTTTGGGGTGCCACGGATACCGCTGGGAGGTAACTACTAACAGTTTTGGAAATAAGAATGATAACGATTAGAAAAAGTTTGATGACAGACCCAGGAGTCCACTTTGTCCAGAGTCAGTGTGGTCCAGGGGATGACAGAGGATAGCGGTCCCCATACAAATAACCCAGGTTGGGCCCCCTCTCTTCTAGCAATGGGGAGACTTGGGTTTTACCCAGCACCATGCAAGACCCTTCCTCTGTGATCCAATAAACTGGAAAGGTCCCTATGGTAGTTCAAGCCTGTGATGTATCTGGTGAAATTTTTAAACTGACTTTTCCCAACCACTTCGAGGAACCGCCATGGCCTCCCTGCTCTTCCTCCAAGCTTTGAGTAGCCTCTGCACGTGGCCTGAGCTGTGGCCACCCACACGGCCTGTGCGTGCGGCCCAGCAGCCCTGCTCAGCTGTCTGGGAAGGGGAACCTCTGTGCTACCAGCCAAGCTCAGTTCCTGTCTGGGCTGGGAACCTCCATTTTCTCTCTGTCCTTTGACGAGGGCCTGGAAGACGAACAAACAACCTGTCGCTGGCTGCCACAGATCAGCTGGGCTGAGACACGCCTCACCGCCTTGCCTCACCGAAGCCTTTGTGCTTCTTGGCACAGAGGAATCTCTGCTACACCCATAAACCTCCTCACCCTTCTCTGCTCTGCCATTAACCCCTGCAGTCCTGGAAAGGCAAGGGCGGTGAACAGAATAGGAAGAGCCCGTTCAGCCGGCGGGCTGCGAACTCCACCACAAGCTGCACCCTTCCCTTCCTCGTCGTTGTCATGGAGCACCCAACAAAGGCTGAAGTTTCTGGACAGGACTGAAAGGGCCAGAGTCTTTTGGGCCAATCAGGTAAGACTGATGTGGACTCAAGGTCAAGGTTAAGACCAAGACCCTGGCCCTATCTCCTATCTGGAATGAACAAAAGTGACGTTCCTCCTCAGGGTCTGAGTGGTGGGGGAGGAAACACGCCCCTCAGCCCCAGCACCCTGAGGAAACCTGAGGACACCGGGCGGGGAGTCCCAGGGGATCACGTGGCTCCTGGTCCCTTTGCTGCAGAGGAACTGGCTAGCACTAAAGGGCTCCCAGTTTATTCTACCCTCTCTTTTTATTAGATGTTTAGTTCAATAGATTAGTATTTAGTGTTTATATCCAACTTATCCCTGGAGTGAGGGTATGGGGTGGGGTAAGAGCAAAACCAAAATACCCCTAGAAATAAAGCAGACCCATTCTCCTGCCCTTTCTCCAAACCTGACCTTTAAAACAGATCACTTCTCTGCAAACTCCTTTCTTGTTTCACTAAAAAAAATGCCTCCCCCTCCCCAAGTCCCGGCCATGTCAGCCTCCGAAATGGTGAAATATGCCCGCCAAGCTTCCCCCAAAGTGGGCAGGAGGAGACAGGAGCACTCTGCTCCACCCTGCCCCAGTAATGAGTTAGTTCATCACAACAAGGCACCTTTCCCCATGAGGAAAGCAGGCGACACGGAAGCTTCTTCCTCATCTGGCTGGCAGGGACTGCTCGAGGAGGGATGGATGCAGGGTTCAAGACCCTACTGTCAATACGGAGAGTCCAATCACCGAGGCCAGAAGACAAGACGCACAGATGGAGGTGAGCTGGGAGGACGCTCGGAGTCTAGAGGTTGGTTGCACTGGAGAAACACGTCAGGAGTTCTCATGCAGGTTTCCGGGGAATGGAAGGGACCATCTGAGAAGAGGAGAGGAGGGTCCATCCTTTTCCTGAGGAACAGGACCCAGCCAGGCTTCACCTGAGAATGGGTGGCAGAGGTGGGGCTCCACGGGCAGCTGATAAAAATAATAAAGACCACAAACACAAGGTCACCTACCAGATCCCAAATAACCCAAACATTCCTAAAATGAGAGAGGCTCTTCAAGCTAAGGTATACAATCTGGGGACTAGGTTTTGGTTTTGATTTTTTTTTTTTTAAGATTTTATTTTTAGAGAGAGAGGAAGGGAGGGAGAGAAACATTACTGTACGGTTGCCTCTCACACGCCCCCTACTGGGGACCTGGCTTGCAACTCAGGCATGTGCCCTGACTGGGAATTGAACCAGTGACCCTTTGGTTTGGAGACTGGCAATCAACCCACTGAGCCACACCAGCCAGGGCTGTTTTTTGATTTTTTAAAGAAAATGCAGGCAGCGAGAAGAAGCAAATTTGAACTGAAGAAAAACACAGCAATTCTATTTTCTATGCAATTATGGAAAAGCTTTCATAACTGCTCTTCTCACCTCGGTTTGTTTTGCTGGGATATACTCTCTGAAAGTGTTTATACTCTTCTGGAGCAGGAAAGTCTTCTACTGGATGGAAAGAATACTTTGACTCAAAATCATCTACGAAAAGAACAAAATATTAATCCATACCAGCCGACCCTTCCTCATGCTCCCGCACACCTCTGACCCTCCCCTCCCGAGTCTCCGTGCGCTCAGATGCACGTGAGGGCCTGCCTTCCCCACTAAACCCAGGTTCCTGAGGACAGCAATAGCATCGCTCTATGTGCCTCGTGTGCACAGACGTTTTTAGAACATTCCCACCCAAGAGCAGGCACAGGAAAGGAGCTCAGCTGTTTGTATGGGAGGAGAAAGAAACAGAGTTCTTAACAGAGTCATCGTAGAGAGTATCGCCATGGGAAACCAATGGAACTGAATCCACAGAAATTAACTGAAAGTGGGAATACTCGGCACCACCTAGAGAGAGAGCTGACCATAATTCCCTTCTGGCCCAGCTTGCCCTCACTTAGCTCTGCAGCAGAGCTGGATAGACATCTCATGGCCCCTGCTCCCACTTTCCATATGGCCCCTCCACAAGAAGGCTCAAAAGTTCCCTGTGAGCAGCCTGACGACACTGCAAGGACTTATCTTCAAAGCAAAAACCCTGGTCCTCCTCATCAGAATACGCTAGAGCTAGGGCACAGAAGAGTCGATCACTAAAGAACCAGAGTGTTAGGCCTCAAAGGGACTGTACAGATCTTTCCAGGAGTCCTCAACAGAGGATCTAATGACAGCTCTTGGATAATCTCTGCTTGGGACTCCATCCCAGGCCTAATAAATTACAATTTCTTAGGGCACCCTTTCTCCCCCTCTCAAGCATGCCAGCGCCTTTCCCCACCCCCTTCTTTCCCCAGGGCATACTCTCTCTCTTTGGAGCAGGGTGGGGAGCCCCCCACCCTGCCCTGGCTTCTTCCCCCAGCTGCATTCTCTCTTCCCTTCTTTTTCCTGAGCTCGAAGGGCCCTTCTTTTGCATCTGTAACCAGTTTCCTGAACCTACACACTCCAGCTGGCTCACCTTTTCTACCTCTGTGACTTTCTAAATAAAATTTTGTTTCAAAAAAAAAAAAAAATCTTAGGTGGGGCCTAAGGCTCATTGATAACCTTGGAAAAGTTAACTGACACACTGCTGATCTAGTCAACCTCCTGGTTTCTCAGGTAAGGGAAGTGAGACCCAGCAAAGTGAAGCAACTTCCTCAAAGTAACAAAGCTAGTTAGTGGCTTTGGATTACTAGATTTAAAGACATGTTCAAAGTGTTTGTGTGTGTGGCAGTTTTGTAACTTTATTCAACAATCAGCAGCTAGTTCTCATCCATATTAACTTTTGCAGACTTTTTAAAAGCGGTGACAGGTATGTAGGTAACCAGCATACAGAGCTTGTTTGGTGACTCTTCATCCTCACTATGGTAAGGGACATTCCTTATTCTTTTGGCCCAGACAGCTTTGTTGAGCCTGTACCGGTAAGTACATCCAGAGTTCCCACCTTCTTCATGGCAAATCTCTTTTGAGTGCTCAAGGGGCACACTTCTTGAAAGCCACTCCAAGGATGCGCTGTGAGTGCTGTGGTTTCGTCTCTGGTCACTACCACACTTACGGCAGAATGGCCCTTCTCACCGCCCTGCTTTGTGGAAGCCATTGTGCCAGGCCCAAGTTGGAAAGAAAGTTGGTTTTGTTTTTAAAGGGCTAGGAAGGAGCTCTCCTTCTTAGGAGAACATGTACTTCCTGTCTGAATAATCCTGAAGAGGATAAAGTCTCTGACTTAAAACGTAACCACAGATAATGCTCCTTGGGGAGCGAGAGACGGCTTTAGAGTTACTGTGAAGTCTGCTGATTGTATTTCAATCGATCCCAAAGCAACCATGCCCCGAACCTGTATAAGGAAAGGGATGGCAATGGATGGGCCTAGAAGTCAGAAGTGAAGGCAGAAGACAAACTGCTGTGACCAATGGATATCAAGTGACCGCTCCCATTCTACCATTGCCACTGGAATGAGTAAGTCATCACAGGAACTAGGAGACTAAAACAGCTAGCTACTTACCCAAAAAAGATCGGACAGTGGTAATGGAATCTCTGTGGCCATTCCTCAAAGGTGGAGGAGGAGGAGGTGGTGGCCCAGCTGGCGTCCTTGAGGGCGGAGGTGGGGGCTTTCCTCGGCTCAGAGGTTCTGACCCGTGTCGGTATGGTGGCGGTGGGGGCGGGGGAGCATCCCTGGCACCATTTCGGATCACGGGTGGTGGGGGTGGAGGGGCTGCAATGAAAGTCCAAAGCAGATAGGTCTGGATGTAGAAGCTCCGTGAGACCCCGAGCATCAGGTCAAACACCACATTCACCCTCCTCTCATCCCTTAGTCTTTAACAGCATCACCATTCTTCCAGACACTGAAGTTCAGAATAAATGTGTGGCCCTTTCTCGCTTCCCAAGACAAGTCAGTCAAGAAATCTATCTATTCTTAATGAATTTTTCCCTGCTTTTCCATGTCTTCCTCCACAATTTTAATTCAGGTCTTTCTCATATTCAGCCTGTTCTACTGCAAAAAGCCTCCCAAATGTTCCTCTTGCTTCTAATCTCTTGCCCTGCCAATCCACTCTGCACACTACCAACTCACTAATCTCCCTGAAATACTTGCTCAAACTTTTTCTAAGGGCTTTGCATTTCTTACATTATCAAGTTTCAAATCCTTAGCTTCCACCCCGACTGGGTTTCCCCCACGTACCCCCTTTCTTATACAGTGACCCACCAGGTCAGTCAGCCTGACCTCACCTTCTCCTCTCCCTTTCTCGATTCCCAGGCTGGGTTAGGGACCCCTCTTCTGCACTCCCACTGTCGCCTTGTATCCCTCTTCCACTCTATTCTACCGTATTGCACTATAATTATTCATCAGATACGCCTCTTCCCCAGTATCCTGTATATTCCTTAAAGTCAGAGCTGCGTCCAAGTTCAAATTCCCAAACTCAGCCAAATGTATACAGCACATGGTAGGTACTCAATCAGTCTCTGCTGAATAAAACAAATTCCGCATGCTTTGCTCTTGTGACTCCCCGACAATACTGGGAAATGCCGTCTCTCTTCCCTTGCTACCAAGTTCTACTTATCCTTTAAGGTTCAACTCAAGTTCTATCTTCTCAAGGCTCTCACAAAGCAATCCACTCTATTCAGACCGCCTCCCCTTCCTGGTCTCCCAAGGCATTATAGGGCACGTCACTTATTTTAGCACTTAGCAGTACAGACTAAAGTGAGTGATTTTAAAAATACGTACAATAGGAACATCTGCATAAGTTATACATCTGATCGCCCCCAAACACTGGGAATACCTCTATCAGCACTGCCTTCAAACCCAGTTTATGAGACAGACCCGTAAATATTATTATACGATGGCCACATCTAATCTCTGAGGTTGCACCAATAACAAAATCATTCATACCTAAGTCTGATTCTGGCTTTTGGACACTTTCAAAAATCAAATTCACTCTTAGGAGACAAAAATTTGCCACTAAGTAGAAAGAAACATCAAAAGCATGTTTGAAGAAATGGAAACACCACTGGAACAGGTTCTACTATGTTTAAGTTATATTACTTCTATGCTTTGCATTACCTAACAATAGCAACTACTATGCATTTGGTATCCACTACCTTCTAGGCACTGTCCTAGGTGAGTTATAGCCATTAAATCTTTAAGAATTCTTGCCCTGGCTGGTGTGGCTCAGTATGGCTCAGTGGATTGAGTGCCGGCTTGCAAACCCAAAGGTCTCTGGTTCGATTCCCAGTCAGGGCGCATGCCTGGGTTGCAGGTCAGGCCCTCAGTTGGAGGCATGTGAGAGGCAGCCGATTGCTCTCTCTCATCAATGTTTCTCTCCCTCTCTTCCTCCCTCTCTTCCCCTCCCTAAAAACAAACAAACAAACAAACAAAAAGACAACACTGTTTTAGTAATATAAGTGTATCTCACTATTCCTCCTAAAGTATTCCAGAATGTCTGCGGAGTAACCACAGTGACGCATGAGACAGTGACGAGATGGTGTGTGCAGGCGAGCAGTCCGGCAGAGCAGGCCCAGTGAGCGTTAGCCCCACTTCCCGTAAGACACGCTCAGAATGTCACCTCTCCCTCGCTCTTCCCAAGGTCTAACTATGGACGGGGGCCATTTGAGGCAATAATTAAAGGGAAATCTTAGCACCTCCCAGGAGACCTCTGAACCTTGTTTTTACTCCAAACCTGCCCAAACTGAAGCTCTTTCAGGTCATCCTCAAACTATTTCCCTAAAACCCAGATTTCTTAGGGCCCTGAGAATCTGTACCTACTTCTAAGGCTGAGCCAGGGAGAGTAAGGTAGGCAGAAAGAGCTAGGCTCAAAAGGACACCGGCTAGACACAGGGCAGATGGCAGTGATCAGAGCCAACCTGGACTGACAAATAGAGCAGGACCAAGAGCATTTGGCTCCCTTCAGCTCCCTCCCGCAGGGACGGCCACCCCAACCAGGGTCTGCCGTCTCCGTAAGTTTCTGAGTTCTTCGAAACGTCCAGTTTTAAGAGTCTTTCAAGTGACAGAGCTGGAACCAGGGACCCTAAGAAACAAGCAGCGTGTAAAAAAGAGAGCCTGGAGCAGGAGAGTGCCTTTTCTAATCCAAGACAAACCCAACTTTGAGGAAAGCACAATGGCATCAATTCTTTCAAGAGTAAAAAGAAAGTTCCTTTAAAAACAGTGTTTTACTCTGCAAAGGAAAAAATTCAGGACACAAATTCTGTGGATCAATTATGTGAGGGGTTGTGTGTGTGTGTGTGTGTGTGTGTGTGTTTGTTTTGGGTCCCTGAGCATCCTGAGAAGGTGAAAGACTCCATATTCCTTCAAGTGTAAAAATTCATATAGAAACAATAATACATTATCACGTGATATTGTCATACTATAAGTTAATAACAGAGATAAATCCATGAACTACCTGGAAGTCCTTTGCATAAAACCTCTAACATTCAACAGCATACAACAGTTCCTAAAGCACTTTCATACATACCTGTATTTTGCTCTGTGTAATGGGTACTTTTTTGCCCAAAATTTTTGAGGGAAAAATAAGGATGCGCATTACATATGGGTATAATGATACATGCCATGGGTATAATGATCCTGTGTATAATGTACACAAAACGTGGGTGCACATTATGCACGGGAGCACATTATACACAGCAAAATACAGTACCTTTTTATTTATAACCACCTCTGAAAGCACTGTGAATACCACTGAGTGATCAGCCCAATGCCACACAACAAACAGAGCCAATGCGCCAAAGATCTGACTAAAATGTCTCAATTTTTTTAACATTTTATTTTATTTTTTAGAGAAGGGAAGGGAGAGAGAAACATCAACTGCGTGGTTGCCTCTCAAGTGCCCCCTACTGGGAACCTGGCCTGAAACCCAGGCATGTACCCTGACTGGGAATCGAACTGGCGAGCCTTTGATTCACAGGCCAGCGCTCAACCAGTGATCCACACCAGCCAGGGCTTGATTTTTTTTTTTTTTTAGTGTATCACTCTTGAGAACTGCTGCTCTGGTTACTGATATAAAAAGCAGGCTGAAGCCTCTGCCAGACCTCAGAGTTGGTGGCAGAAAAACCACATTGATTACTTCACATATTTCTAAATAAACCATAAAGAGCCCTGGCTAGGGTGGCTTGTGGATTGAGCGCCAGCCTGAGAATCAAGGGGTCATCGATTTGATTCTTGGTTGGGGTGCATGCCTGGGTTGCAGGCCAGGTTCCCCATTGGTGGGTAGGGGGCATATGAGAGGCAACCACACATTATTTCTCTCCCCCTCTCCCTCACTTACCCTCTGTCTAAAAATAAATTATTAAAAATCTTCAGCCCTGGCTGGCGTAGCTCAGTGGATTGAGCGCGGGCTGTGAACCAAAGTGTCGCAGGTTTGATTCACAGTCAGGGTACATGCCTGGGTTGCAGGCCATGACCCCCAGCAACTGCACATTGATGTGTGTCTCTGTCTCTGTCTCTGTCTCTGTCTCTCTCTCTCTCTCTCTCCCCCCCCTTCCCTCTCTAAAAATAAATAAATAAAATCTTTAAAAAAAAAAAAGTAAAGAAACTATAAAAAACTGAGCCTTGGCTGATGTGGCTCAGTGGACTGAGTGCCAGCCCAGGAACCAAAGGGTCATCAGTTCGATTCCCAGTCAGGGCATATGCCTGGGTTTCAGGCCAGGTCCCCAGTAGGGGACACATGAGAGGCAACCACACAGCAATGTTTCTCTCCCTCTCTTTCTCTCTCCCTTCCTCTGTCTCTAAAAATAAATAAATAAATCTTAAAAAAGAAAAAAAGAATTGAGAAGTGGGAAGCAAGAAGTCTGCAGACATTTAAAACTACTCAGTTCAATCCACAGAAATTACACTTTTCTCCACTTCCTTTCCTGGATGGAGTCAGAAAGGTATGGAGTCTGCTCAGATAAAGGGTTTTTTAAAAAAAAGTTGTAAATGAAAAAAAAAATTTTAATCTAAACTTTGTAGAATCAAAGGCCACCTTAGGACTATAGCCTTATGGCTAAAGCCAGGGAGATATGGAATCGGGAAAGTACAAGGTTACTGGATGATATAATAACCTTATGTGTTGAACTGCCAGCTCCTATAGTGCCGATCTCTATGTACCTAGCCAGGCAGCAGCATGGGTTAATGGGCTTTTAATTCATGCTTCTTGATAACATAACTTCTTAATCAATTATCTACACCTACAGGGACTGACTTTAAAATAAAAGTTCAAAAGGCTTTTGTGGAAGATGTGGCTCAAAGTCCAATGACACAAGATAAGGGAGTCAAAACTTCTGGGTCGAAGAAAGCCCGAGAGAACTGTCATGGTCTCCCTCGCTCTCTACTTTCAGTCAGGCTATTTTGTAATACGAATACACAGTCTTGCCCTGGCTGGTGTGGCTCTGTAGACTGAGTGCTGGCCTGTGAACTGAAAGATCACCAGTTCAATTCCCAACCAGGACACATCCCTGGGTTGCGGGCCAGGTCACAAGTTGGGGGTGTACAAGAGGCAGCCTATCACACGTAGATGTGTCCCTCCCTGCCTTCTCTAAAAATAAATAAAATCTTGGAGGTGGGGGAAGAATACACAATCTCATCTATTTCTTCTAGGGTTCCTAATCTCCTTTTTACCCAGTTTAGGGCCATGGTCCATTGTTACAATCACTCCCTTACAAACCCTTAACTCCCTTGCCTCACTCCTGTCTACAAAAGGCTAATCCCTAGTTAAATACAACTCTGCTGCAAATGCATAGCTGAACACAATGAGCTGATTAACCTCACTCGAAATGGATGCACCCTAGTGTTGATTGGGCCTTTCAGGCTCCTGGTTATCCTAAACACACTTCCCCACTCCATGCACTCTCCCAAGCTCCCAGACGGCCATTTCATGCCCTTTTCTCTTCTCAAATCTCCCTCACCTTGCTATTTCACCAAGAAAACAGAAGCAAACAAGAAGAAACTTTTCACATGCTCCAATCACTACGCACCCTTGACCCGCTTGCTTCTACGCCTACGAGCTTTGCCTTCCCTCCTGTTACTATGGAAGATCTGTGTTCTATTTTTTTTTTTTTTAAGAGAGAGAAAAGGGAGGGGGTGAGAAACACTGATTTGTTGACCCACAACCTAGGCATATCAGGGCGGTGCTCTAACCAACTGAGCTCCTGGGCCAGGGCAAACTATCTGTGTTCTTATCTAAGGCCAACCCCTTACCTATGGAGCAGATGCCATTCCCTCTTGCCTCCTCAAGGTCATTACACAGGCAATTTCCCCCCTCTCTGCTGGATCACTCCATCAGTACACAGACAAACAGATACTGAAATATCTCCCATCTTGGGATGAAAAAAATTGAATTCTCAACCCCCTCTCGCAACCGTTCCATTGATCTGCACCCCCTTCCCCTTTACGGAAAACTCCTTCAGGCATTTCTACATTGCCATCTCCAACCCCGCTCCTATTCCTGTGTTGGCAAACCCACCCCAACTAGACTCTCACTTTCACCTTCCCTCTGCCACTCTGCAACACCCCAAAATGTCCCATGCTGTTTGGGGTCCCCAGAAATGACTCCCATGTAGCTAAGACCAATGTCATTCTCAGGCTCCAACTTAACTGACCTAGCAGTAGCACTGGACACAGCCTAGAAGAGGTGGACGAGACTGTGTTTCCTTTTTACAAGATAGCATGACCGAAGTCGAGAGTGAGGGAGACCATGACAGCTTTTGGGGGCCTTCCTATACCCAGCAATTTCGGCTCACTCAGCCTTGGAGTTTTTCCCTCACCGTCTTCACTTCCCTCCTTCCTTCCCCTCTAGAGGCTCTTCCTCAGCTCCCTCTGATTGGTATCCTCCATCTGGCTTCTAATTAGGGCCCCGGGCCTTAGACCTTTTCTTTACACTCTCCCTGGCGATCTTACCCCACATGTGGTTTTCAGTGTCATTCCAATTTCTCCCCCTAGCCCAACCTCTCTTCCCTGAACTTCAGAGTTTGACAGCCAATCACCGATGAATTATTTCCTTTTGAAAGTCTAATAAGCATCTCAAACTTCAGTTGTCCGAAACCAAATTCCTGTCTTCTCCCAAACCCACCACTTACGACAGCCTTACAAGAGGTCTCCTTTTGCCACTCTGTCTTCCTGCAGTCTGTTCTCAACACAGGAGCTGGTGCTCTTTTTAAAAGGTAAATCAATGCTACTCCCTGTTCCAATCCCTCCAGTGGTGGAAAGCCCAAGGTCTTTATCGAGTCTTACAACGTTCTCCTGTGGAAATCTAGCTTTCCGACCCCCGTGCTCTGCCACTCTTCCCCTCACTCACTCTAGTCCCATCTCAGGGCCTTTGTACTTGCTCTTCTCAATGCCTGCTTAACTTGTTCCCTCACTGTCTTCAGGTCTTTGCCAAACTGTCACTTTATCAGTAAGGCCTTCCCTGACCCTAACCCACCCCACCCCGCTCCACTATATCCTATCCCCCTTCTCAACTACCTATACATTACACACATACATAAGTATGTGTGTGTGTGAGTGTGTATATGAGGTCTGTCCAGAAAAAGTCCAACCATTGTTAATATAATGAGAATGGTTTGCATGATATCAATATAACCTGAGAGCCAAGGAGGGAGGACTGGAATGTACACGTGTGAACAATGCCAACTTCACTGTACTAATCAGTGGGGATGGTAGACACCATTGAGTGAGCATGTATGTGTACTGTGTGGCCATTACGTTCAAAATGACTGAGTAGAGCAACGAATCATCATCAAGCTAGCATCGAACTTTGCATTAAGCTTGAACATTCCTCCATGGAAACTATTTGGATGATTCAGAAGGCCACAGCTATGGGCAAATGGTGATTAGCTGCTTCATCACGACAACACACCCGCTCATGCATCATGTCTCGTGCATATTTTTTTTTGTGAAACATCAAATCACCCAGGTGGCTCAGCTCCCCTGCAGCCCAGCTTTGGCACCCTCTGACTTCAGGCTTTTCCCAAAGCTAAAATTAGTTTCCCTTTGAAAGGGAAGAGATTTCAGACCATCAACGAGACTCAGGAAAATACAGTGGGGCAGCTGATGGCAACTGGGAGAACTGTGTGAGGTCCCAAGGTGCCTCCTTTGAAGGGGACTAAGGCATCATTGCCCTATATACAATGTTTCTTGTATCCAGTATCTTTTTCAATAAATGTCTCAGATTATATGGCAGGATACCTTCTGGAAAGACTATATATATATATTTTTTCTAACTAATTTATTTGCTTATTTATATAGAAGAACAAGAATTTCTTACATTTTCTATTTATTGCTGTTTCCCTAACAATAGAGTCTGACACACAAAAGTGCTTTCAATAAACCTGTTGAATGAGTAAGGGAATTCTTATCTTCAATCACTAAAGGAGAGCTTTGGGGAAAGGAGTGAGAGAGAAAATAAGCTCAACTCTCAGTATGACAGGAAGAAGAGGTGCTGCAGGCACTCACCTGCTCCCCGACTGGGAGGGTCTCGGGCTGGGGGAGGCGGCCTATTACTCTGTAAAGAAGGGGAGGCTGAAGTGGGTGGAGGAGGCGCTAGGCCTCTGGCAGGTCCTGGTGTCTTCCTATGCAAAGAATTGTGTCTCTGTGGCAGCTCAGGAGCTGACTCATTAGTGGGACTGGAGGGTCCATTAGGGACCCCTGGAGGCTGGCGGTAAGGTGGGGGAGGAGGAGCCAGAGACTGGCCGCTTGGTCCCATTCTCATAGTCACAGGAGAAGGAGGTGGTTTAACGGGCGGTGGAGCAGGAGGTCCCTCTCGACCAGGGTGTAGCCTTTGTCCAGGTGTGGGCGGCAAAGGTTTCTCTCTGTTGTAGGCTGGGGCTTTGTTGCTGTGCATGGGCAGAGACGTAGGGGGTGCGTTGGCACGCCGCCCTGGTGGTGGCGGAGGAGGGGCAGAGGAGCTGTGCTTCATGCCCGTACTGCTGGTGGTATGAGGCCGAGAGAGGTCCGGTAATGAAGGTCTCTGCATCCGGGGCAGTTCCGGGAGTGAGGCTCGGCTGCCATCTGTATCATCTTGAGGGCGCCCACTGGATGTAGACACTGGAGGCCTTGGGGCAGCAGCTCGAGAACTGGGGACTTGCAGCGCTGGCTTACAAGAAGCTAGGTTCTCTACAAACAGACCAGACAGCACTGGGTCAACAAAGCTAGAGATATGAGGGTGAGACCTCTAATTTGTCCAGCCTCGTTTCCCAGCGCAGCAGCAGGGAAAGTACATTTGTATAGTACTGGTTTTTAATCTAGCTCAGGACTACTAACAAATACTGTTGATATATGTTGAATACATTTTTATTTAATGACTTTGCTTTATTCTACTCTGTAACTCCACCCCTGCTCCCACGCCTTTCTCCCATCCCTACCACTCCTCAGCCCCGGATGGACAGCCTGTGACCAGTAAGAAATCAATGCACCTGGGAAATATTCTAAGAAAGTCTTTTTCAGCCCTGGCTGGTGTGGCTCAGTGGCTGGCCTTCGAACCAAAGGGTCGCCAGTTCAATTCCCAGTCAGGGCACATGCCTGAGCAGCAGGCCAGGTCCATGGTTGGGGGCATGTGGGAGGCAACTGATTGATGTATCTCTCACACATCGACATTTCTGTCCCTTTCTTTCTCCCTCCCTTCCCCTCTCTCCAAAAATAAATAAAACCTTTTTAAACATGTAAGTCTTTTTTAGGTACCTGGAACGTCCTTGGCTCCCACAGGCCGGAGCTTCGGCACTCCTCCCTGGAAGAGACCTCCCTTGGGCTGCAGGGCGCCTGCTCCAGAGCCGCATCCACCACCGCTCCCTTTGGGTTCTGGAAAGCACACCACCAGAGCTTTCATTTCGTTTGCTCCAAGCTGTGACCAAGTTAATCCTGAGGAGAAACTAACCCTTCCTCTACTTGGGTCCTAATTTGCAAACAAAACCAATCTCGCTTTTGCCTTTCCATTTTTTTAAAAAAGGGAAGCCTTTCCACTCCACAGCCTCATGCAGAAACGAAACTCTCCGCTATGATGAAAGAAAAAGAACAAAAGGAACAAGGAGCCAATCTTCCCTTGTTCAGGCCCGGGGACAACCTGGATAAAGACACGTTCAACAGAATCCTCTGGGCTCGGCTCCCGTGCTCTCTTGGTCTGGACAGTAAGGGGGCTAATGGCTCGGGGACCCGGGTATGAACAGACTTTACAGAAGCCTTCGAGAAGGGACACCTGCAGCAATTCTGAAATCATCGCTGGCTTCAGCTGCGCGGTTTTGAGGACTGTGGTGATCTCTGAAGAGAACAACCAAGGATGTGCCCTAACAAGCTTAACAAGCACAAGTGACAGCAGGAGATGAAGTCTCAACCCTGAGAATGCTTCCCAAAGGTCAAACAGAAGTCTCTAAGGTATTCAGATGAAGAGATGGGAAGACAGCCAAAGAACATCCCAGGACACAACTCTCCTACTCAAGACCCAACAATAAAAACAACAGCCCAGCCACGTCTCCAAAGCAATCCTAGGATCCCGGCAGCTCACTGGGAAACGCCGCTCAGACTCACTCTCGAGGATGGGAGCGCTCCGATCGTTAACGTTGGTCACCTTCTTCAGCTTGGTCCCTTTGCAGATGTCCTGCAGGAGGGCACCTCGCCCCCGCTGTTCATCTCTGCTCAGCTTGGGCTGCTCGGTATTTGCCTAGAGGAAGGGGGATATGTAAGTTCACCTAAATAGTCCCCTTCATCACAAGCTCAGTATAAATGCCTTGAGCCAAACTGGTTCCATGAGACACCTATCTAACCTAAACAGATTTATACACCACATGGCACATAATGGTAGTGTGTATTACCATTCTTCTCAGTCCTTTTTCTCCTCTTGTGGCTTCTGTGATGGGTAAGGTCTCCTTCCTATTCAGAGGCTTCTGATGGGAGGCCTGCACTAATACTGAGTACTTATGCGCCAGGCTTGTTGTGTGTTAGATGCGGTAGGTGTATCAGCATCATCAAGGCAAACATCTGCTGAGCCCCTGCTATGCCTTAGGCACTGTGCTGAGCACAGTCCTTTCCTTATCTCTTTTAAATCTTGAAATACCGGCATTGCTATGACCAACTACAACAGGAGCACAGGGACAGATACTAGATAAATGGGACAAAACAGACAAACTCAGATCTATACACGAAATAATAAAAGTGTATTTCATCAGAAAGGATAGATTATTAAATACAAGATGTCGACAGCAACTGGTAATTTTTGAAAAAAAATAATAAAGTTAGATACCTACCTCAGCTTATTCTCAAACGAATTCTAGCTATATTTAAGTATAAAAAATATATGAAAAAAGAGCTAAGAGAAGTACATTTTAAGCATGCCAACTAAAATATAGGAAAAGGTAGATTTGCTTAGTAAAAATTATTTATTAGAAATATAGGTAAATAACAAATGATATACTGGAAGGAGAAATCATCTGTGACAAATGTTACATGAGAGACACAAAGGTAGTGTCCCAAGTCTACAGAACACAGGTGGCAAACACAAGGCCCGTGGGCCGAATCCGGCCTCCACCTTGTTTTATGCAGCCCGGCACCTTGTTTCTACCTGGCGGCAGCGCCAAGCTCTCGCTTAAACTGTTAAGGAGTAGTTACATGTATACAGTCCTAAAATTACATTTGGCCTGTTGAAGGCAACTGCAAGGCTGATGTGGCTCTCAGTGAAAATGAGTTTGACACCCTGCTGTATAGAGCATTAACATACAAAGATGACTTAGAAATCAACAGGATAATAATCAAAGAATATAAACACACTATGTAAAAGAAATCAAAGAGCCAGCAAATAGGAAAAAAAAAATCAACTGGAACAAAAGAAATGCAGGGGAAAACACAGTATCAATATTTACCTATGACACTGGTAATGTTATTACAATTTTAACTAAAGAGACTCCCGGCTTCGGGAAGGCAGGAGCCGCGGTGGGCAATGATGTGCAGTGCCCGCACACTGCAGATGTTCAAAAAATGTGCAGAACATAGCACTTGTGTGTGTTTTTGCTTAATTTGTGGGCAAAGACTACATACAGGTACAGAAAATAAATCCTCTTTTGCAACCCAGAACTCATTGTTTGGTATGAGTTTTGATACATACAAGAAGGAACATGATAAAAAAAATGTGCAGAACAAATAACCCGCCCTATGGTGGTCATAAGTATTGAGGGAAATAGGTTCGCTTTGGTACTACCTGCAGTAAGATAAACTGGTATGATCTTTCTAGAAAGTAACCTATGTATTAAACACCTTTAAAAGTCAAGCACAAGAATTCTACTTGTGGAAATTAACTTTAAGAAAATAATTGAATAAGTGCACAGAGATGTTAATAATGTAGCAAAAAATGATTTTTAATAGCACAAAACTGAAAATAATCTACAAGTTCAACAACAACAAAAAAACAATGATAACCATACTCTTAAAGTACAGTAAATATTGACCTGGCTGGTGTGGCTCAGTGGATTGAGCACAAACCTGCAAACCAAAGAGTGAATGGTTCAATTCCCAGTCAGGGCACATGCCTGGGTTGCGGGCTTGGTCCCTTAGTAGGGAGCACATGAGAGGCAACCACACATTGATGTTGCATTACCTCTCTTTCTCTCCCCCTTCTCCTCTCTCTAAAAATAAATAAATAAAATCTTTTTTTAAAAAAGTAAAAGTAAGTATCTTTTCATGGCAGTAAATGTTTGCCACAACCAAGTAAAAAAATATTCTAAAATAATATAGTATGATTCTAGTTTTCTCTTCTATAGGAGTAACAATAGAACCTACCTCATATACTTAAATGATAATACTTTTAAAAAAATTGATTGTAGAGAGAGGAAGGAAGAAAGAGGCACAGAGAGAGAAACATCGATCCATTGTTCCAATTAACTTACGCATTAATTCATTGATTGATTCTTACATGTGCCCTGACCAGGGGTCAAACCCACAACCTTGGCATATGTGGATGACACTCTAACAACTGGTTTACCCAGCCAGCACATAAATGGTAACACTTTTCAAGAGCTTAGCACGGTGCCTGGTGTATAATGAAAACTCAGTAAACTACACCGAGATTACATTTGGAAGAAAAAACATACAGCAAATTTCTAGAAGAATACACACTGATACTATCAATAGTTAACTTCTTGTAATAATTATTTATGCTTCTCCATATTTTCTAGTTTTCCTACAATAAATACATAATACAAAATGTTAACAAAAGTTAATTATAGATACTTTGTCTGTTTATTGGTATTCTCTAACTTTTTTCCACATTTCTAGTACAGTAAATTTTTTTTAAATTACTATTTAATAACATGACCACTCAAGATGTATTAATGAGTAAGAAGAACAGATTAGAAATCAGTATGTATATAAAACACAATCTTTTTTGTTTTTAAGTAGGAAGATACAAAGGGAGGGAGGTAGTAAAAGGGTATACACAAAACTGTTATGAATGACCAGATTATGGGTAATTGCTCCTTTTTGTTCATCCACAGTTCATAAATTTCTTGAACATATTACTTTTATAATGAGAAAATTATTAGACACACAGATCAATGGAACAGAACAGAGAGCCCAGAAATAAACCCACACCTTTACAGTCAATTAGTATTCAACAGAGAAAGCAAGCACATACAACGGGCTAAAGACAGTTCATTCAATAAATGGTGCTGGGAAAGCTGGACAGATATGTGCAGAAAAATGAAACTAGACCACATTCTTACACCACACACAAGAATAAATTCAAAACGGATTAAAGACTTAAACGTTAGACCTGAAACCATAAAAACTGTAGAAGAAAACATAGGCAGCAAAGTCTCGGACACTGCTCACAGCAGTATTTTATCAGATACATCTCCCCAGGCAAGGGAAACAAAAGAAAAAATAAACAAATAGGACTACATCAAACTAAAAAGTTTTTGCACAACAAAGGAAATCATCAACAAAATAAAAAATCCACAGCGGGAGAACATATTCGCTGATACATCTGATAAGAGCTTCATATCCAAAATTTATAAAGAACTTACAAAACTCAACACCAAAGAACCAAACAACCCAATTACAAAATGGGCAAAGGACCCAAATAGACACTTCTCCAAAGAGGACATGCAGATTGCCAACAGGCATATGAAAAGATGCTCAACATCACTAATCATGACAGAAATGCAAATTAAAACCACACTGAGATACCATCTCACACCTGTCAGAATGTCTCTCATCAGTAAATCAAACAAGTGCTGGCGAGGATGTGGAGAAAGGGGAACCCTTTTACACTGTTGGTGAAAATGCAGACTGGTGCAGGCACTGTGGAAAGCGGTATGAAGATACCTCAGAAAATTAAAAATGGATCTGCCTTTTGATCCAGCAATCCCACTTCTGGCAATATATCCGAAGGAACCCAAAACGCTAATTCAGAAGAACCTAAGTATCCCTATGTTCACTGCAGCATTATTTACAATTGCTAAGATATGGAAGCAGCCCAAGTGTCCATCAGATGAGTGGATAAAACAACTATGGGACATTTACACAATGGGGTACTACTCAGCTGTAAAAATGAAGAAAATTTTACCCTTTGTGACAGTATGGATGGACCTGGAGAACATTATGCTAAGTGAAATAAGCCAATCAGAGAAAGACAAACACGATATGATTTCAGTCATGTTGTGGATTCTAATGAACAAACTGCAACTACCATACAACAACAGAGACAGACTCATAGATAGAGAGCAGGATGACAGCTAAGGGCGAGGGAAGGTCGGGGTGGAGGGACTGAGCAAAGGAGAAAGAACTCATGGACATGGCCAACAGTGTAGTGACTGCGGAGGGCAGAATGCGGTATAAGGGGCCTAAAGGGTAACGAAGAAAATACAATAAAAAGAGAAAAAATTATTATTACAAATTATTGCCCTGGCCTGGTGGCTCACTGGTTGGAGTGTCATCCCATACACCAAAAGGCTGCAGGTTCTATGGCCAGTCAGGGCACATACCTAGGTTGCAGGTTCAATCCCCAGTTGGGGCATGTACGGGAGGCAACCGATCAATGTTTCTCTCTCACACTGATGTTTCTCTCTATCCCTCTCCCTTTCTCTCACTCTAAAAATCAATAAACATATGCTTGGGGGAGGAGTAAAAAAAAATTACTAAGTACATCAAAACTGAAGCTATAACCTCCTCCACAAGCAGCACCATCATTTTGCATTTGGGAATGCCTGGGTACACCGTCACCAGTCAATCCCCCAAACCAGAGTCAGTCATTCAAATCTGTCTCCTCTTCATCTTCCGCATGTCATCAACCTCTTTACGGCTTTACTTTCTAAGTGTCTCTCATCTCCACTCTCCGTCCTCAATGCTTCAGTCCCGGCCCTCAGTTTTCAGATGCATCTGGCTTCTCTCTCCAGTCTTGACTTCCTTGTCTCAACTCCCAACCCACTGTCCATACTACTTAGAATGATCTGTCTAATACAAACTCGATCAGGTTACTCCTTTTCCTGTAAATACTTCAACACTTCCCCATTGTTGCTGTGAGAAAAAGCCGAACCCTCAGCTTATGCCTCCAGCTTCACCTCCCACCATACCCCCTTCTCAAGCAATAATCTAAACTTCTGTGTCCTTTCTCACAAATCGGCACCCTTCCACATTCTGCTTCTGCAACTTCGAGTGTCCTCCCCGTCTCTTCTCTTTCTGGCCAAACCTCACTCATCCTTTAAGACTCAGCTTAAGCACCGCTTCCCCCCAGAAGCCTCCTTTGACAGCCTCCTCTCTAACCACTAGCTGAGGGGTCCCACCATTCATCTGTGCCCAGCACAGAATCGGCTTGTTGACTTTCCTGTCCTGCCCATCATGCTGGGGCCCTTGAAGGCAGAAACTCTCTCATTTCTGGGCAATGGCATTACAGATGATTTTTATCTGCATCTTTTTGTTCATTTGCATATTTTCCTTCTCTTTTATTCACACACACACACACACACACACACACACACGCCTAGCCCAGTCTCCGCCACTTAGCCCCTAACGAAAGGCTATTGAAAGGCTAATGACTAAAATAGCATGATGCAGGACATTAATCCAAAAGGTTACAGAGATCGCGGGAGGTGCTTTGGGTCCTTGAGTCCCACTATAACCAGAGCAGCTCTGCTTTTATCTTTACTCACTGGGCTTCCACATAAAATTTCACCCAAAAGTGGGGGGGTTCATACATATTCTCAAACAAAATGTCTAAAAAGCAGAAGTTATGGGGAAAAAACAAGTTGGCAGACCCAAACTCTTGTCCTAGGTCAGAAATAAATGAGCTGGGCAAGTCACCTGTCCTCTGTAAGCACAATTTCTCATCTGTTAAACACCTAACACAACCCCCACATACAAACACCTCTGTGAGAGTCATTCTCTAGACTTACTTTTGCTTCTAAATTTTACAAAAATGAGGTAAAGCACCCAGGTTGCTTCTTTTTCGTGTGATACCATCCAAATATAGTAAAAGTGGCTGCCTCCTGGGTTCAGAAGCCACACTGTTTTTTAAAATCTCATGGCCAAACCTTTAAGTCTTCTTACTAATACATTCCACAAACTCCCTTCTTTCTTGATGGGGTGTTAGACTTCATGGACTTGGTTTTAAAATGAACTGATTTGGAGAGGACAAAGAAATGAAATGGTACTGAGAAACAACCGCCAGAAATGACCATCCCTTTCCTCAAAGATGCCATAGAAATGATGCACTGACCTTTTTCAGAACGAATAGTTTAAGGGGGGGAACACCAGTTATTCTCTGATGCCACCTGTCCAAATCTCCAGACTGAACCAAAACAAGATCACAAGAAGTCATTATGGTCCTAGGAGGACCTCTCAGGAATCAGATTCAGTAATACGGGCAGACTTGACTTGTTTATTCTCCATCTTCCTGAACCACAAGTCTTTGAGTATGGTATGTCTTATACCATGGAAACGTAAGTATGCACTAAGGTTTTGAGACAGCCAAGTGGAATGATTACCTACCTGATTGAAAGTGGGAGGCGGAGGAGGACCAGGAGGGGGCGGAGGGGGAGGAGGAATTGGCATCCTTGCCCTGCTCGCAGTTGGCACTGCTCTCTCTCTGTTTTAGTTTGCAGCTTGAGGTCACTCATATACCTGGAAATGAAAGAGAAATTCATGAGAACTCTGCCATTAAAGGCACTGTGTATCAAGAGAACTAGGGGATGGGGCATGACACCAGAGAAACTAAGCACCTCATTTCCTAGCTCCACTATGACAGAGGCCAGGGCTTGTAAACTTTTTTTTATGGAAGGCCAGATAATAAATATTTTGGGCTTTGTAGGCTGTATATAGTCTCTGTCGCATGTTATTTTTGTTTTGATGTTTTTCAAATGAATAAACTTTATTTATTTTAGGTTCGGAGGAGAACAACAGAAAGTACAGACAGCACTCACATACCCTGTTCCCGCCGCACACATACACAGCCTCCTCCACCACCTACAGCCTGCGGAGGTGCGTGTGTTACAATGGAACCTACATCGACACCCCATTATCGCCCCAAGTACACAGTTTACATTAGGGTTCACTCTTGGTGTTGTACATTCTATGGGTTTGGATAAAGTATATAGACAACTATCCACAACTGTAGTATCACACAGAATAGTTTCACTGCCCTAAAAATAACCCATGCTCTGTCTATTCATCCCTCCTTCCTCCCGACCTGTCAACCACTGATCTTTTTATTATGTCCACAGATTTGCCTTTTCCAAAATGTCATATAGTTGGAATCATAATAGGCAGCCTTTTCCAATTGTCTTCCTTCACCTTCTTCCATGTATTTTTATGGTTTGATAGCTGATTTCTTTTTAGTGCCGAATACTATTTCATTGTCTGGATGTACCACAGTTTATTTATCCATTCACCTACTAAAGGACATCTTGGCTGCTTCCAGTTATGAAGAAAGCTGTGTGGACATAAGTTTTCAACTCATCTGAGTAGATACCAAGCAGCACGAATGCTGGATCACATGGTAATAAACTGCCAAACTGTCTTCCACAGTGGCTGTACCATTGTGCATTCCCTCCAGCAATGAAGGCGAGCTCCTGGTGCTCCACATTGTCGTCAGTGTTTGGTGTTGCCAGTGTTCTAGATTTTGGCCATTCTAATAGGTGTGTAGTGGCCTCTCACTGTTTTAATTTGCAATTCCCTAATGACAAAGGAAGTTGAACATCTTTTCATATGCTTACTTGCCATATGCAATGTGTGTATCTGGTCAGGTGTCCGTTCGTCTTTTGCTAGTTTTCAATCAGGCTGCTTGTCTTATTGTAGAGTTTTAAGAGTTCTTTGCATATTTTGGATAACAGTCCTTTATCAAATGTGTATTTTGCAAATATTTTTTCTCAGTCTGTGTCCTGTCTCATTCTCTCAATTTTTACATTTAAAATATGTAAAAACCATTCTTAGTACATCGGCCATACAAAAACAGACCATGGTTCATATCTGACTCACAGGCCACAGATTACTGGCCCCTGAAGTAATCACATTGCTGGAATCTTATCACAGCATAAATACCATAAGTGAGAAGTTAGCTACTTATCAAGTTACCAAAATATATACAGCTATCCAATCTACTATAGTGTGTAAGTGACCCTCATCGTACAAATGAGACTAAAGCCAGTGAGCTGTCTGACCCTAAGATATTAAAGTAGGGGGCAAAGACAAAACCAAAACTCAGGCCCCGGCCGATGGACTCGGTTGGAGCGAGGTCCCACACACCTAAAGGTTTCGGGTTTGATCCCCGGTCAGAGTGCACACAGGAGGCAGCTGAGCGATGTTTCTCTCTCTCCAGCCCCCTCTCTAAAATCAATGGACAAATGTCCTCATGTGAGGAATGAATGAATGAATGAATCAAAAACTCAGGAACAATAGCTACACCTCAAAAAGCTATCCCAAGGAAATCCCAATTCTTTGTTTTTTTAAGGCTTATTTTTCATTCTCATTTGAGAAAGAGAGGAAGGGTGAGGGGGGAGAGAGAGAAACAGAGAGAGAAAAAGAGAAGCATCAATGTGAGAGAGAAACATTGATCAAATGCCTCCTGCACATGCCCCAACTGGGGATCAAACCCAAACCCTAGGCATGTGCCCTGACCGGGAATTAAACCAGTGACTTTTCAGTGAACAGTACTCCAACCAACCGAGCCATACCGGCCAGGCCAAAATCCCAGTTCTTGACCCCCACAAAATCAAAATCAAAATAACATGCCTACCAGGGACTATAACTTACAAATGACAGGAAAGTTTCAAGATAGGGTACTCAACTTCATTAATTAACCCATGGAAGAACTACTCCCAAGCAAGGTGATAATGAAATTAGGACCCAGAAAAATCCACAAGCAGCGCCTAGCACAGATGGGTGACCATGTGTACCAAGCCGAACCTAAAAGATCCAACCAGTTTAGCAATCCATTGGAGAGGTTTGGTTCTGAACTCTTTAAAGGGGTGATCAAAATCTCTTTGTGGTTAAAGGAGTAACCAATTAAATGTGTCTCTCAATGCCTTGGGAATGATGAAAGGAAAAGGCAAATATTCCAAAGGTTCTATAAAACCAAGAACCTTTATAGGTGCATAGGATTTGATCAGAAACATGATTGTGAAGGTCTTCAAAATGCCAACTCCTCCCAGGGTAATGCCCCTACAGGCCGGCCAGCCAACAGGGCTTCTTGCTCCAACCACAAAGAACTAGACAGCACTGTAGCTAGGTGGTTCCCATGGGGGATGGTGTCGGAACTCACTCAAGAAACAAGCAGCTAACTCCCCTCCAGGGGAAATACCTTCTGGTGCTGCTTTCAAAACTAAGCCTAGCATTTCTCTGACAGGTATTGAACACACTAGGCTTTAAAAATTGATCAAAATAGTAAATTCTCATAAGCAGGCCATTTATCACGGGGCGGGGAACGGGACACAAACTGAAAATAAAACATGAAGAAAAAAATTCTTCTATTTCAATTCTCTGGGTTCTCTATGACTATTTTACTCCAAAGCCCCCACAGTATTCTTTTAAAAAGCTAGCAAGAAACATAGGGAAAATAATAGTCTGTCAGAAATAGATGTTTACAACTAGTGCCAATCACCTCCATTCCTGACTTGTTTGAGTTTCCAGTTCTACCTTTGCCACTGCCACAGCTGACATGATCTCCCTGAATGACCAGGAAAAGAGATTCAGACAAGCCCCTCGTTCTTCCCATACCCGCAGGTGATCCAGCCTACATGCTATAAAGTAAGAAATGACCTAAAGGAACAACCTGTGTCTGACAGTGAGCACCACTTACCAGGCAAAGCATCAACTGCTAGCACGGGAAATCTCTTTCTGAGGTCAACCCACTACAGACGACCACTAATATATTACACAGCTAGAGATGCCTTTTTTATTTTTAAAATTTATTTTATTGATTATGCTATTACAATTGTCCCACTTTTTTCCACCTTTGCCCCCCCACCAACCAGTTAACCCCCCTCCCTCTAGCATCCCTCCCACCCTTAGTTCATGTCCATGAGTCATGCATGTAAGTTCTTTGGCTTCTCCATTTCCTATACAGTACTATTCTTGACATCCCCCTATTTTGTTCCTACCAGTTCTACTTCTTAATCCCTGCACCTTTCGCCCCATTCTCCCCTTTCACCCTCCCAGCTGATAATTCTCCAAATCATCTCCATATCTATGATTCTGTTCCTGTTCTGGTTGTTTGCTTAGTTTGGTTTTTTAGATTCAGTTGTTGACAGTTTTGAGTTTGTTGCCCTCTTAATGTTCATGGTTTTTATTTTCTTCTTTTTCTTAAATAAGTCCTTTTCACATTTCATGTAATAATGGCTTGGTGATGATGAACTTCTTTAGCTTTACCTTGTCTGGAAGGCACTGTATCTGCCCTTCCATCTAATGAGAGCTTTGCTGGATAGAGTAATCTAGGTTGTAGGTCCTTGCTTTTCATCACTTTGAATACTTTTTTGCCAGTCCCTTCTTGCCTGCAAAGTTTCTTTTGAGAAATCAGCTGACAGTCTTATGGGGACTCCTTTGAGGTAACTCTGTGCTTTTCTCTTGCTGCTTTTAAGATTCTCTATCTTTTTAACTTTTGGCATTTTAATTATGATATGTCTTGGTGTGGTCCTTGTTGAGTCCAACTTGTTTGGGGCTCTCTGTGCTTCCTGGACTCATATGTCTACTTCCTTCACCAGATTAGCGATATTTTCTTTCATTCTTTTCTCAACTAAGTTTTCAATCTCTTGCCCTTCCTTTTCTCCTTCTGGCATCCCTATGATTCAGATGTTGGTATGTTTAAAGTTGTCTCAGAGGTTCCTAAGCTTGTCCTCATTTTTTCTGAATTATTTTTTCTTCTTGCTGTTCTAAATGAATGTTTTTTCCTTCCTTGTGTTCCAAATTGTTGACTTGATTCTCAGCTTCCTCCCTTCCACTGTTGGTTCCTGGTAGATTTTTCTTTATTTCACTTAGTGTAACCTTCGTTTCTTTCCTTATGTTTTCGCTATACTCAGTGAGGTTTTTAAGCATCCTCATCACCAGTGTTTTGAACTCTGCATCTGATAGGTTGGTTATCTCCATTCTGTTCAGTTCTTTTTCTGGGACTTGTTCTGTTCTTTCATTTGGGCCATATTTCTTTGTCTTCTCAATTTGGCAGCCTCTCTGTTTTACGTAGAGGGGCTTTTGACTCCCTGTAAAAGGCATCTGTAAATTGTGTGGGGTGGAGCTTTAAGTAATTACCGAGTCGGGGCAAATGGCTTCACTACTGTGTGGCTGTGTGTGGGGGAAGAGCTCAGAGAGGGTACAATGCCACTGCCTGGCTTCTGGAGGTTCCCCCACATAGTCCATGCAGGCCCTTTAAACAAATGTTCCTGAAAACCTGGTAGTTTCTTGCACTGCCCCAACCTCCAATGATTTTTACAGTCAGAAGTTATGAGGATTTATCCCCCAGTGCTGGAACCCTGAGCTCTATGGTCTGGCCTGAGGCTGGGACTGCTGGCTCCCAAGGTATCCCTCCTGATTTTTATCTGCCACACATGAATGTGGGACTGCCCATTCTGCCACTGCACGCCTCTTCATGCCACACTGTGTCTCTGCACCTCTCCACGCCCGTAACTCCGCCCCCCCTACCCATCTGGATGAATGTGGCTTCTTTAAATCCTTGGTTGTAGGACTTCCATATGGCTCCATTTTCCAACGCTTGCTATTTGTTTTGAGAAGTCGTTGTAATTCTCTCTGAGGTTGCGCAAGGAGGCAAAGCGTGTTTACCTACACCTCCATCTTGATCATAAGTCAGATGCCTTCTTAAAACAGGTTCAATTCAAATTCCAATTTCAAAATAGATCCATCAAAAAAAGATCACCTTCATCAAGTGACTAACTGTAGTGGCGACTACTGGCAGTGGCTCGTAACCTTTCTTCTGCCTCCATAAAGACTGCATGGATGCCGCGCTCCAATCAGTGACATGGAGTATACAATGGTACATACATACACCGCAGTAGGATGTCATCGAGTCCGTTTTACGGTGAGGACCCTGAAGCCCCAGGAGTGGGAGTGCGTGCACACCAGAGAGAAGGGGCAAAACTGAATGACGTGAGGGTGACCACCTAACCTCACTCAGGAAGGAACTACAAAGTTAGGAGTCAATTTAGGTCTTCTCATCACCTTCTACTTCAATCACTGAAAAAAAGTCTCCACTGGAAATTGGTTGGATTTAGCAAATTCTCTATTTTTCCAAATTAAAATTCAACCCATTCCCAGTTTCTATCCTAGTGATAGAATATAATCAGTTCTCTGTTTTCCAAAAGCAGCCAAACTTATGGAAAATTAAATTAATACAACTTTCCTTTGCATGAAAATCCCCAAAGAAGCTTTATTACAATGAATTTAGGATTGGCACGTGCCATCACTAATTCAATACAGAGTCTGCTTTGGGAACTGCTTTTAGTTAAAAATAAATGAACCAAAGCCAGAAGGGTACTGGATTTATCAGGGTGATCACTTTGTAATATATATAAATGTCTAATCACTATGTTGTATACCTGAAACTAATTCAGTATTGTATGTCAACTGTAACTGAAAAGTGAAAAATAAAATTTAATGAACCAAAAACAGTTCATAAAGTTTTATGACAGAAATAAATTTTAGTGACCAACTATTTTTAGTCAAAGGACAAATTCAGGCCTCCTGGAGCACTGTCTATTGCAATTTTAAGAATCTAACATTCCTGAGATTAAACTTAAAAAGTGGGTTCGCTACAGAATTTCTAGTCTTTCCTTTCTATTAAATTAGAACAACAAACCTCACCATCTGTGCTCTTCAGAGTCTTTGATTTTCAGAAATATTGTGAGACTGCCTCTAGTTCAGTAATACAGCAATTTTCATTCCCTTCTTAAGCCCTTCCATCTACCCCATGATATAATAAGCTTTTCACATCCTCAAGAGTCAATTTCTGGGAAGGAAGGAAGGGAGGGAGAGAGGGAGGGAGGGAAGGAAAAGAGAGAAAAGGAGGGAGGGAAGAGAATGCAGGACTTTTTTTTTGAGATACAGGGTTTTTTCTTTAAGATTTTATTTACTTATTTTCAGAGAGAAGGGAAGGGAGGGAGAGAAGCATCGATGTGCAAGAGAAACAGTGACTGGCTGCCTCTTGCACACCCCCAACTGGGGACCTGGCCTGCAGTCTAGGCATGTGCTCTGACCAGGAATCGAAGTGGCAATATCTTGGTCGGCGGAACAAAGCTCACCCCACTCACTAAGCTACACCAGCTAGGGATCAATTTCTTTTAAATAAAGATCAGAGAGCATTATTTCAAGTCTTCCTGATGCTAAATTTATCAAAGAATTCAGAGATGTCTTCATAAAACCATGAAATTAACTTTTGAAAAGTGCTTTCTTATATTCCTCAAAAAAACCAAAACTATTTTTCTATTCAACTTCCTAATATTTCACTCAAATATTCCCATATTTTAGGAGCAGGAGACTTCTGAGTACAAAGACACTGACTATTGCATTTTGCATCTGAGAAATAAAGAACCCAATTTAGTTGTTGCTTTTTTCATATGTTTAAAATCATGTAAGAGGTATCCTAGTTACCACAACAATTTGGGGCCTTTATTCAAATGACATTCTGCTGTTATAAAACTCAAGTTTCAATCCCAAGTTAGTTTAAAAAGAAAAAAAAATCAGAAACATCTAAATCTTAATGCTATCTGCTTTCGTGCTAACAGATCTCAAGTAATAGCACTTTCCTTTAATCTTGGCTTTGACTACAGAGTAAATTACAGTGTCGAAGTACCCAACAAAATCGCACAGGGGGAAAAAACTGACCTTAAAATGTAGGCTGCCTACCCTCAGCAGAGTCTCAAAGGTCTCAGTTCTACCTCACAAGAATAAGTTATATGGCCCTGGCTGTGTGACTCGGTTGCAGCGTCATTCTATTCACCAAAGGGTTACTGGTTCAATTCCCGGTCGGGGCACATACCTATGTTTTGTGTTTTGATCCGTGGTTGGGATGTGTAGGAGAGGCAAACAATTGATGTTTCTCTCTCCCTTCCTCTCGCTCTAAAAAATCAATGGAAACATGTCCTCGTGTGAGGATTTAAAAAAAAAAAAGAAGTTACATGAATAGGAATTTGGGATGTCAACAAGAAAATTATCTCTCCTTTTTTAGCTACATATTCAATTCTTTAATATCCTATTAAACCTCTTCTTAATATAAAGAAACAGAGAAATAGGTAAACAGACATTTCAAGATCTTCGGACCAGTGGCTCTCCGACTGTCTCTAGCTATCCTAAAGAGAAGACAGTTGTGTCTTAAGAAGATTCCAGACATTCTCCCCACTGGAATTCTTCTGATCCCATAGTTCAAATCAAAAGAAATCTAACAGTATCAGAGATGGAACATACATGTTTGACAGAAAATCAGCTGCTCTAGGATAGCAAGTAAAAAGCCAGCGAGATGGGAATGGGCTCGATGTGTACAGAACTGGTAAGGAAGCCAGGGTAGCTGGAACACAGTGAGGAGAGTGGTAGCAAATGAAATCCAAGGCCTTGCAGATCCTCCTCCAAATCCAAACGCAGTATCCTACTCCATTCATTATGCCTGTAATACCAAAGAAGTCTAAACAAATCAACAGCTTCACACCTAAAGGAAACCATAAATTCAATCGGTTATTTCATTAATCTCAGCCTGCACTTGATCTCCTAGCGTAAGCACAACTAAAAGGACCTATGTACTAACTGGAAGCCTTCCAGGGTTAAAAGTTACCTGATGGTAATCTGCCAGCATGTCCACCTGCCCTTCAACTTTGCTCCTGAAAAGCAGTACAGTGTGGGGAGGTAGGAACTCATTACCATAGTGGCACAAGGGCATCCAGCTCCTAAGCCAAAGAACCAACACGGGAGGCGAGCCAGAAGCCACCGAAGAGTATTCACAAGCCACTCCAGCAGACAACGAACAGAAGGAGTCAAAGAGGTTCCCATAATTACAGGGGAACTCGTGTCAACACAGAATTATGAACACACCTCCATGTGCTCTAGGGCAGAATACAGTAGAGGGTCTCCACTAAGTCACTTTTGGTTTAAAATACAAGAAAACAGACTAGAGTAACTTCCATATTGCACAAAGGCCTCCTCACCCCAAAAGGCTTTGTATAGTTTGGAAATAATCCACAGCACTCTTCTCTCAGTGGAGAAGGCACTATTGCCCCCTTGAAATTCAATTCAGTCAAACCTCTGATGAAACAGATTTCTATCATGATGGAATTAATTAAAATTCTAAGGTTAGCTCCATGAGGGAAAAAATCATCTTTCCAACTGCAGGCATTTTTCAATCATGGACAACTCAACTATGTAGCAAATCTGACTGACCCAACAAATAGTAAAATATCACATACCCACTGTGAATATTTAAACCGAAAATCCTGTGACTTCTACAACTAAACCTGATTGTTCTGTTTTTTAAAAAAGACTTTTATTTATTTTTAGGGAGAAAGGAAGAGAGAGAGAAAGAATGGGAGAGAAACACCAATGTGTGGTTGCCTCTCACACATCCCAAACTGGGGACCTGGCCCACAACCCAGGTGTGTGCCCTGACTGGGAATTGAACCACAGGCTAGCGCTCAATCCACTGAGCTACACCAGCCAGGGCAAGCACTTTAGATAAATGATTTTTCACAGTTACGAACAGCACATAACCCAGGAAGAGAAAAGGAAGACGGCAGAAGAAAGATAACTACATAATGAAATCCTTTCAAATATAATTTCTGTAATAAAAATGTTAAGTGTACATCCCAACAAAGAGGCTTCCCCCCCCAAATATGACTCTTTTCTCTTGTCCCACATTTTTAAAAAGTCCTAAAGACATAAACTTGGGAGGCTACTTATTCACATACGACTTGATGTGGTAAATAGCAGGTACCACAGGTTATTCCCAGGTACAGGGCAACCCAGGAGCCAAGTCCTCTCATCTGAAATGATGGCAGACAATGAGCGAGAAATCTACTCTTGTGTTCAATTAACACTACTGCTGCAAAAGGTAGCTTCATTAAAAAATAACTAATGCAAAAGCAACTGTAAACTAAATGTCTGAAAATCATCCTAAACAGATAACAGGTAACAACCTCACCAAACATCCCCACCCCCTATGACACCCCAGAGCAAAGAGAAAACCCGTTAACCTGAAAGCACTCAAGTATTGGGAAGGTGGGGGAACATGTACAGAAGAATAGTCAACTGCTAATAGTCGATAGCTAATAACCACAAGACCTCCAAGAACTGAGAACTAGGGTACTACACTTGGCTTCTACAACATCACTGAGACAGGCACCATTTGGCCCCTGACCTCCAGGCAAATCACAGAAACCTAGGCACAGCTGCAAACATCTCACTTACTGATGCTTCAGAATGGCAGTAAAAGCTTCCTTTTAGGCCTAGGGATCTATAAATACACAAAAGAGAATATGCCCTTTCATACTGTCAAAGTTAAATATAAACTTCCAATCACAGTGCTTGAACATCTCCAAAAACGATGCTGCATACATCCAAGGCAGATCATTAGTACATCTGTTTTCAAAGCCTGAGTTAATTTCCTATTTTACAAAAAATAAAAATAAAAAATTAAGATTCCTGAATTTGGACAGCAAAATGATGCAGAAAGTAGCTCAATCTCTGTAACTAATATTTTCTCCCCACCCACACATCCCAGGAACCAGTGGCTTTAGAAATGTTGGCTAAAAAAATGGAGTCAAGCCCTGGCTGGTGTAGCTCAGTGGAGTGAGCACAGGTCTGCCAACCAAAGGGTCACTGGTTTGATTCCCAGTGCGGGTACATGCCTGGGTTTCTGCCCAGGCCCCCAGTAGGGTGTACAAGAGGCAATAACCAAATATTGATGTTTCTCTCCCATTCTGCTTCCCTTCCCTTCTCTAAAAATAAATAAATATAATCTGAAGAAAAAAAAGGAGTCAAATGAGGCCAAAGTCATTACCATCAGCCAACATATGACTAAAGAGAGGAATTAATCAGATTAAGAACACAAATTCTAATTTAGAAATCCAGACCAAAGCCAGACAGACTAAAACACAGTCTGAATACAAAAGCAAAATTAAGGGAAGCCTCAGGAATTTGCTTTGATGATTTAAGATAGCAATAAATGGTTTAGAAGACCGTTCTAAAACAGAGTCTCCAAACTTGCCTGATGACAAGATACAACCCAGGGCATTTGTTACAAACAAACAAACACAAAAAGATTCCTGAGTCCTAATCCCTGACCTTCTAAAATCATAAATTTTCCAGAAGAGAGATCTGAGAATCTGTATATGCAACAATTCCTGGTGTTAGGAAAGTCTGAAAAAACAGTAAAGGAGTATTAGTAATCAACTACACCGACGCTATCTGAATAGGTATCAGCAAGAAGAAGCTGATGACTATGTTGGTTAAACATGAATATGCTGCATGCATTTTATCATAAAACATCATTAAAATTATGCAAAGGAATCTTTTTCTTAAAAGCTTAAAGATAAAAAACAAAACAAAGAAAATAGAAAAAGGAGACAACAGCAGAAAGAGAGATGCCAACAAAATTTTGGAAGCCGGAAAGCAGATGCACTGGTGATGAATAACTTTAAACGCCTGCAGTGGCAAGCAGCAGATTCCCACCCCAGAATCTCAGAAAAGGCTCAGAAACTGGAGGAACCCAGTACCTCCTCTGGAGGAAGGAGAATATGAGGGGCTGAAACAGGGGAACTGGTGGAAAATCCGAATAAGAAACAGAGTATTCCATCCTCTTTCCCTTCCCCATTCTGCAGAGCGGAAGATTGGAGGAGTTGAAATCAGAGGGCCTCTGAACCAGGGACCGGTCACAGCTAAGGGCAGGAGTGCCGAGCTGAAGACAGGGGATCAAATAAAAGTCTAACTTACTCTGCTTTTCCCATCTCTCTTCTCCGACGTGGCTCCAGAAACACGAGATGCTGGGCTCATACTCTCCAGGCAAGAGACTGGAGGATCCACTCTGAGGGAACTAACAAGCTCCCAATTTACCCCGAAGTGATGCCCGCCACTTAATAAGCCAGGGCTTCATACTCAGAGCATATCAGTGCCTCATTGCTTTTACCTTTTTAATAAAAAAAATGTGTCCCTGGCTGGCGTAGCTCAGTGGATTGAGCACGGGCTGGGAACCAAAGTGTCCCAGGTTCGATTCCCAGCCAGGGTACATGCCTGGGTTGCAGGCCATAACCCCCAGCAACCGCACATTGATGTTTCTCTCTCTCTCTATCTCCCCCCTTCCCTCTCTAAAAAATAAATAAAAAATCTAAGTGTCCCTGGCTGGTGTAGCTCAGTGGATTGAGCGTGGGCTGGGAACCAAAGTGTCCCAGGTTCAATTCCCAGCCAGGGTACATTCCTAGGTTGCAGGCCATAACCCCCAGCAACCGCACATTGATGTTTCTCTCTCTCTCTCCTCTCTCTCTATCTCCCTCCCTTCCCTCCCTAAAAATAAATAAAACCTTTAAAAAAAAATGTTTATTGATTTTAGAGAGGGAGGAAGGGGGAAGGGGGAGGGAGAGACAGACAGACAGACAGACACATGGATGTGAGAGAGAAACATTAACTGGCTGACTTCCATGCACGCTCTGACCAGGAAGCAAACCAGCAACCTAGGCACGTGCCCTAACCAGGAATCGAGTTCCCGACCTTTTGGTGTACAGGATGACGCTCCAACCAGCTGAGCCATGCTGGCCAGGGCTAGTACCTTATTCTTAAAAATGAACAGATAGCAAAGAATTATCAGACATTTGAAGAAAACCTCTGAAAGTAGGAATCAAAGTAAAGAAATAAAACAGAATTCCTGACAACATGAAAAAATATCTAAGAAATTAATACTAGTAGTACAACAGAAAAAAATGGAAAAGCTAAGGAAATCTAAAAATTGAGTAAGTAAATAAAATAATAATAATAATTTGAAAGGAGAAAATAGAGGACCAGTCTAGGAGTTTCACCATCTGGATAACAGGGGTTTCCAGAGAGAGAGAGGAAATAAATAATTATGGAAGAGGGAATACATTATC